CCGAGGCCGGCAGGGGAGGTCCCAGGATCTCCCCTGCCTGTCTATGCAGGACCGGCGCTATCTGAGCGCCGGCCCCGCTGTTTTCCATGAAGGGCCGGTGGGGAGATCAAAGATCTCCCTCACCGGCTCACATGCTGTCAAATGCGGCCGCCGGCGGGGAGAGAGGGAGGGAGACAACCAGCCAGGAGAGAAGGACCCGGCGGAGCTCTAACTTGCAGCTCCGCCGGGTTCCTCTCACGAGATCCGGCTCGTTGCCATTGCAATGACCGGATCTCACTCACCACGAGGACCACCAGGGAACACTGCCACCCTGCCTCCCAGTCCCAGGGACCAGCGTGCTGGTCCGCCCCTCCCAGGCTAAAGGTAAGAAGGGAGGGGGGGACATAATGCCTGTTATTTTATTTGTTTATTTACCCCCCCCTACACACACACAATCCATTCTAACATTTATACAGCACTCTCACACACAGCACTTTCACACCCATCACACACAGCACTCTCACACACATCACATAGCTATCTCACACACAGCACTCTCACACACATCACACACAGCACTCTCACACTTATCAGAAACACACACCTCACACAGAGCACTCTCACACACATCACACACCGCACCCCTCACGCACTGCACCCCTCACACGCACATACTGCACCCCTCACATACACACAGAACCCCCCCAACACACTGCACCACACACATACACAATACTTCCAAATATATATATATATATATATATATATATATATATACACACACACTACACTCTTAACATACACACTCTGGATCCCCTATACACACACTAGATTCCTTGTAAGCAAACACATACTACACCCCTAAACACACACTACATCACCTATATACACACACACACACACACTATAGCCTGTATGCACACACTTGCTATATCCCCTATACACACATACTCTACAGCCCCTAGCCACATATGCATCACATTACACCACAAACACAACATGACTAAAACCAACCTTATTACACAATACCGCACCACAATCAGCTCACTCTACACACACACAATACCACAAGCAGGCTCCAAACACATGCACAATACTCTTTCCTGGCATTTTTGTCTCCTGGTATCCATTTATAGAGACACCAGAGACAATTTGCAAGGAAACAGTGCAAGCATGTTATTAAATTTGCTTGCACTGTGCAGAACAAATACAGGGCTTTTTTCTCATGCTAGATCTCTTCAGCAGAGCTCTGCGCATGGTCTGCCCTGGAAGAGCATTGAACCAACATGCTCACTTTGAGAGGGGGCGTGTTTGTCATTGATGATGACAAAACACACCTCCTCTGCCCCCCTTCTTAGTGGGCCGATGTGTTAAAAAAATTCCCGGGACGAATTTTTCTCCCAGTCCGGCCCTGACAGGGAGAGGAGACAATCGGTCTCTCTCTTCAGCAGCAACCATAGATATCAGGAGTCAGCTACAGGGGAGCAACAACCTTGACCCCAGTAGTGCAGATGGGACCACGGTCTCTGTACTGGAGCTAGATCCAGTCCAGATCCCCAACTAACCATGTCTGGGTACCAGGAGGAGGGGGTAAGCGACTTCGCCCCTCCACAACCAACTCCCAACGAGGTACTGGGGTCAGTAAATGAGACTGTAAACCCCTCTGGCCCCTTTCCAGCAGAAGAGCTGGCGTCAGGGCAGAGCGTCGCTGGCCTCTGCCCTAACTTTCCCATTGTTACATGGCAGCACTATGTACCCATTTTCCCAGCAGACGCGCTGGCACCAGGACAGAGCGCCGCTGGCCTCTGCCCTCCCTTTTTTCTTTGTCCAGGGCCTAACTACCTGAGGGCCACCCCAGCAGAAGCGCTGATAACTGGGCAGAGCGCAGTTAGCCTCTGCCCTCCCCTGGTCCATGAACCAGGAACTAGCAACTCACTCCGCGAGACCCCAACCAAGCTGCGGCGGTTCGTGGAGTCTGCAGTGCTTATGGTGTCTGGTGCGGTGCTAATGGTCCTTGGTGAGAGTTTGTGTGTTTGTGAGGGTGTTAGTGTGCTGTGTGTGAGGGTTCTGGTAGTGTGCTGTGTGTGTGTGAGGGCGCTGTGTGTTTGTGTACTGTGTGTGTGGGGGTGCTGTGTGTGGGGGTGCTGTTTGTGTGTGGGTGCTGTTTGTGTATGTGTGCTGTATGTGTGTAGCTGCTGTGTGTGTGTGTGTGGGTGCTGTTTGTGTGCTGTGTGTGAGAGAGTGTGTGTGCTCTATGTTTGGAGGTATTGTGGGGGTGGAGGATTAGTTAATATCCCCCTCCCTTTTTACCTTATGTAGGGAGGTGGAATCCTTGCTACCACGTGCCATCCCTGGTGGTCCAGTGGAGAGTGAACTCTAGTCCGCGGAGGCTTAGAGCAGAGCCGGCGCTCGGATAGCGCCAGCTCTGCATGAGCCAACAGGGGAGATCCTGAGATCTCCCCTGCCTGTCTCAATCCATAGGCGTGCCGCGGGGATTAGGGTGTGCCAAGGCACACCCCGTGCGCACGCCAATGATAGAGGGACTAGTAGTTCAGCAAAGGGAATAAGGTTTTTGAACGTGTTAAATGACATCTTCATGTCACAACTGGTATGAGCACCAACTAAAAAGGACGCTTGTCTGCTTCTGGTTACAAAAAATAATGATGATCTTTTCTCAAAAAAGGGGAAAAGTTGGGGCTGTTAACCCCAAGCCAGGAAATCACCTGTAGACTACTCTACCTAAACCAGGGAATAACCCTAATAAAATAATATCATAAAAGAAAAAAAAAACATGGATCCTTGATTAACAGGGGAGCCTTGACGTGGAAGAAGCAGTAATAAAAGTAAAGGAAACCCCCCTCATTGCTTTAAATTGGAAATCAACCACATGTCTCACAGAAACAATGCTGGTGAACAAAATAAATCTCAACTATGCATATGAACGTATGTCTATAATCTCTCCAAATCGGAGGACAAAGATATTGTGGATTTGGGAGTCATTGGAGGCCCTATGCCCATCACCTCATGGATTATGACTGTCTCTCTGGTTCAACTCCATTATATTGCATACACAAACCCTGAAGCAGGTCTAAGTTCACAGCAATCCGTTTTACCAGTTTAGAATTCTAATTAAAAATAATAATTTTTAAAATGTGCCACACACCACAGTCACAAGAAATAATTATGTTCCTTTAGGGTGTATATTAGGGTGTATATTGTGGTAAATATTGTAGCATGGTCACAGCTGACGATGTATCGACAGGTATCTTGGGCCAGTAGTCCATCATTATCTGTTATCTGCAACTACAACCCAGCTTTTATGTATCCACACTTTTCCATATGATATTACCAGTATTATTATAAGTTTATTACGTTTTGTTTTGTATTGTTCTGTATTGTTTTACATTCTGTGTGGAGCTTAATACATGCTTTTCATGACTTCAGAAATTTCTCTAGATCAACAATTATTAGAATTGTCATATGTGCTAATGCGATAATTCACATAACACAGTTGTACCCCATTATAGGTATTAGTTATGCAAAATTTGATTATAGGCAGCTAGGCTAGAACTTAAGTCCTCTTGTAAATGGTCAGTTTGTGTAAAACTGCAATTTATACCTGTACAACTCTTCTCCTGTAACAGAAGACTATGTTTATTTTTACCGCTACAGTGTTGTTATATTACAGTTTCATTTTGAAAACAAACGTTGTGAGCTAGCTACAAGATTGCCTTTGGATGCAAATATCACCTTACAACTCGATTGGATAATTTGGGAAGCAGATATTAGGCGTCAATATCACATTTAGTTATTTCCCCCAGCCAGTGACCAAACTTTGTTATATATTTGTATTGTTAATACATTTTGCACTGCATTATGGTTGCTAATTATTATGTTAATATTTATATAGCGCCAACAAATTAAGGCACTACTAGTGGTAAAGTTATACTTATTATTATTATTATACCATTTCTTTAAATTATTTATTTTTCATTTTTAAATAGTATTGGATGATTAATAGTACCTGTATGTTTACCCCTTTTCCTTGTTTGTTTGATGCTCTTATTATCATTATTATTTGGTTTATTATCATATTTAAAACTTTAAATAAAACATTTTGAAAAGAAGAAAAAAAATTGCCAGATTGATTATGTTGCTTTTGAGACCATGTAGCTGCCCAGGAATTAAAATTACCCCCACCATTGCATATCATTTGCAAAAGTAGACAACACACGGTAATTAAAATGGGGTATGTCCAGGCTTTTTAGTTGCAACTTAGTCACAAATTCCGGACCTAAATTAATGTTCATATTTGTTCTTTTTGCATTTTTCACAAATAATCTGCTATTTTTACAGATGGCATAATCAGCATTATATGTTTTACTGTTCTAAAACACTCATAAATGTGCCCAGTAATGTCTCATGAGTACAATAGTACCCCTCATGTACCGGTTTCATGGTATTTTGGAAAGTTACAGGGTCAAGTAAAAGAGGCAAAGCCCCAGGGGATGGAGGTGCTTTAGTACCGCCAAAACGCGCGTCTTTATTTTCATTTATCACAGCACGGTTTACTTTTTGCACCATGATCATTTAGCTACTATGGGGGATAACTTCAGACTCTAGGGACACAATTGGAGGGTATTTTGTTGGTGTACTGGGGCATCTGTAGGGAGTCCAAGTTTTTGCTAATTTTTCAGTCAAATTGAAGTCGAATTTGTATTTTGTCAGTTTTTAGAAGGCTGTTGCAAACTATATACTTTTATATATAAAAAATATACATGTATAGAACCTTAGTATATATATATATATATATATATATATATATATATATAACAATTAGCATCCTGTAACAGTAATATTAAAATGTTGCATAGCACTGATGACGATAGAGGGCGCTCTATCCATTGCAGAGTGAAACATGCATGTAGACTCTATTCTACATGAACACGCACAATCTTCCACAAAATGCGTGTAGCAGTCACGTGACTTCCCTTAACACCACTTCCGAATAACCATAATAAGCGCTCGAAATGAACATGTCGCCACTTCCTGTCCTCTCTCCCCACAATAAACTCTATGGTTTCACTGGCTGGAAGCCTCCCACAATCACATCTCCCCTAGGGGGCGCTGCATAACAAAGCCTGACCTTGTTTTTTCATTCCCGCTACAGGAAGACACAAAGACAATCTCTTTGGTTCTAACGGTGTCAAATAAAAAAAGACGATGTCACTAAAGATAACTCGACCATTAGTTTATTCCACAACTTAAAGAGCAATTTACCCGCTGCAGACATCCTAGAAATGCCCGAGAGGCCTTTACTGTCTTTCAGTGTGGTCCCTCCCACCACAGCCCTGGCAGAGTCCCGGTTCAAACATGGCGGCGGCTGTGCAGTCACGTGCCACCCGCGAGTTAACGATGGAGTGGGGGTTCTGAGTCGGTTGGGGGCCGCCATGTTCGTGCGCAGCCACCCGTCTACCATGTACCGTGACTGTTAGAAGCTGCGCGCCCCCATCCAGGCAGAGCCCTCGGTATCACGCCATGTCAGGGGGACGGTATCCGCTGTGCTTGTAATATTATGCACCGTCAGACGGGCACCGTGTTGGCATACTGACACCGGGCTGCCATGCCGGCCAAACCGTGTGTGTGTGTACATACTGAGTGTCTATCCGTACAGTGTGTGTGACAGACTGTGCCTGCTCTCTCTCTCTCTCCTCCCCCCTCCCATTCACTCTCACACTTCCTCCCTCCTCCTATCCCCCGCCTCCTCCGCCCTGGCTCCACAGCCACTCGCCGCCGCCTCCTCCAAACAACACGGCGTTCCTACATCACCCGACAACATGGAGGCCGTCAAAACCTTTAACAGCGAGGTTTGTATTCCCTGATTTCCATCCTCTGTCTCTGTACTCCGCACACTCACTATCTCTCACTCAGCCCCGTGCAAGGCTCGCTCCGCGCACTCACTCACGCCGGATGGGCTACCAGGGCCCGGCAGGGCTTTCCATTCCCTTGGTTTGACCCTTCTTATCTCTTCCTTCCTTTACCAGGCCTGGCTCTGATTGTTTTACCTCCCCGTATTGCACATTGAAACATGCATTTCCCGTTGGCCTTGCAGGAGGCAGCTCTGTGTCTCTTATAATGGTGCACCCTGTGCAGTGCCCCTTACAGGCCAGCACTGAGCACTAGGCCCTTAAATATCCTGCAGTGGGACAGCTTCCTTAAATATCTTTGTTGATGAAAGGTGGCTTAGCAGAGCTAGAAATACATATTTTGAAACACCGTTTAATGAAATGGGATAATGAATAAGCTATGTCACCCCTCCCCACATACACTATGTTTGTATTATGTATTACAGTATTCATTTGCAGTGCCAATATACTGTAGTAAGTTATAATTTCTTATTATTTAGAAGCAGCACCTGCATCATGTAGTGTTTTAGCGTGCAATGGTTCAGATCGTTATACAATGTTGCAAGTAACCAAGTAATAGCACCTAAAGCACTTACAAAGAGAGATTATAGTATTGATAGTCATTATTATTTTAATCAGTGCATATTAAAATAAAACTTGCAAGTCAGATTCACATCCATTGTTTCTGGGGTGCCAAGTTGTTTCTGAAAAACTACATGCTAATAGTAGTCAACATTTCCCCTCTCACTGATGTAGTACCATAGACCAACAAGTTTGTGCCATCATCATGTTTTTATTTTGGTTCTACAGTTTATGGAACCTAGCTCTCTTACATCAGGGGACTTTTCTGTCTTTATTTTGTGTATATCATACTCTAAACTGGCTTCTCCACGTTTAGCGGGTTTGTTCTCATAATAGGATATCTGAGGAAAATCACACAGTCCAACAGTTTCTAAGACAAATGATGCACAATCATCTACATTTGAGCAGTGACCAAAATGTATGACTAACATCACTATACATGATGCACTTATTTCTTTAAACATCAGTTTAGCCTATTTTGAAGGACATTTTGAAAAGTGGTGGTGTCAAATTCTGTTCCTTGATATTTTTAGTGGTGTGTGTAAATACATTAAAGCAGAAATCAAAATTGTCACTCATCCATTAACCATTGATGAGTAAAAGTTAAGCCATGGACTCTCCAGGTTTGCAGTGGTGAATAGCTATTCAATATTTATTATTATATTTACATAGCGCCAACAAATTCCGTAGCGCTTTACAATGGGTGGACTAACAAACATGTAATTGTAACAAAACAAGTTTGAGGCACAGAAACAGAGGGGTTGAGGGCCCTGCTCAATGAGCTTACATGCTAGAGGGTGTAGGGTAAAGTGACACAAAAGGTAAGGAAAGTAGATTGGTAGAATAGTATTTAAAGAAGACTTAGTGTGGGGTTTTGGAGCCATTAAAGGAGCACTATAGTGCCAGGAAAACAAACTCGTTTTCCTGACACTATAGGGTCATTAGGTGCCCCACTCCCACTGGGCTGAATGGGTTTAAACCCCTTCAGCCACTTACCTTTCTCCAGCACCGGGCTCCCTCTGTGCTAGGGAACAGTCCACCACCTGCCGAGGTCAGATCCGAATGCGCATGCGTGGCAAGAGTATTACTCAATACTTTCCTATGGACGTCCAGCGTCTTCTCACTGTGATTTTCACAGTGAGAATCGCGGAAGCGCCTGTAGCGGCTATCAGTGAGACAGCCACTAGAGGCTGGATTAACCCTCAGTGAAACTGTTTTCAACTGCAAGGTTAAAACTAGAGGGACCTGGCACCCAGACCACTTCATTGAGCCTAAAGAGGTCCTTTAACAGTTTAATTGATATGCTTTTGTGAAAAAGTGAGAGAATAGACACAGGTCTTCGGCAGAGCGTAGGGGCCTAGACGAAACATATTTGTGTATTAGGGAGGATAGATAGGTGGGAGTAGCATTATGTAAAGATTTAAAAGCAAGAACCAGAATTTTATATTGAGCCCTATATCTTATGGGAAGCCAATGCAGGGTCTGACAGAGGGGTGAGGTGCAGGCGGAAAGATGAGCCTCGCCGATGCGTTCATTATAGACTGCTGTGGGGCAAGTTGGAAACATGTAAGACCATTAAGAAGCGGATTGCAGTAGTCAAGGCGAGAGAGGACAGTGGTATGGACCAGCACCTTAGCCACACCTGGCGTTAAATAGGGGCGGATGCGCGCAATGTTTTTAAGATGGAATCGGCAGGATTTGGTGATCGACTGGACATGAGGGGTAAAGGAGAGGTCGGAGTCAGAGTACACCTAGGCAGCGAGCCTGCCCTATAGTAGTGGAGGATTAGAAATTTTGAACTCTAGTATAATTATATCTTCAATGTTTTGCAGTTTTCTTATGCTTGCCTGAATGCTAACAGAAGGCCGTCACAAAAACTTTTCAAACATTCAGGACTTATTTTAGTACTGAAACAATGATCTTTGCCGCATAAAAAAAAGCATTCTGAACGTAAAAACAGAAATGTCATTTCTCTGGAGGGGACTGTTTCTAGTTTCATTATCCCAGTAAATGGCATTGAAACATATGTGTGTGAATAATATGGTTTAGGACAGGTGATGCTTTGGGTATTCACAGAGAAATTCAGTAAAAGCGCATGGACACTTCCTACAGTTATGCCATGTATGTGTGTCATTGCAGGGGTTAAATTTACCTTAAGTACCCAGCAGCCAAAGTTTACAGCTAGTTTTGGTGGTGTGATCTTACAAATGTTTAGTGTAGGGATTAAAAGGGCAAGTTTACTGTAAAGGCAGTACTGGTATATACATATCCCACTGCTGCCCGAGAGTTAGTCCTAGGAGGTTATTTCCAGTATCAGTGATACTCATCTCAGCTAATCCAATTTTTCTCCATAGAGAACTGAGTGAGGCCTAGTAGGCATTTCCTACTATAGGGCACATTCAGAATCATACTGAGCACGAGGGCACCTATAGTCACTCCTGCATATATTTCAGAGGTGTAGGAAGGAGTCATTTCTAGGAGATGTCAGTCATGATCACAAGAGGTGTGCTTACAGTTTAAAGCAATCTGACTTTTAATAGAAAAGGCGCTGTTTATAAAAGAGAGGCTGGAGGTTGAGGCTCTTTACACAAACATCACTTAATAAAGCTGTAGTGCTTCTGGTGATTAGAGTATCTGACAGTTTGTATTTTCAGTAAACTAGGTATTTTTTTAAAATATGAACTATTCACACAAAGGGTTAATATAACCCATTCAATGACTGATTCTCATTAAAAATAATCATGTTTGGACACTATCAGAGGGTAGTGGAGGAATGAGCTGGGAGGTAACAAAAGTTGGAAGGTTGAGAGGTTTATTTGGAAGAGAAAAATGAGGGAGTGTAACATATGATGAAGAGGGACAAGGGATCAAAAGATATAATTAATGTCCACTCTTATATTCTACAGAGAATACACATATGTAGACTTGCATATGAAATACACTAGAAACTGTAGGATTGTGCATATTAAACTCTGCAGGCTAGAGGTTGTGCACCCCTAACTTACAGGATCAAATTAGTGGCATACCCTTGTGTTGGCATGCATCTTCCTTGGTATTTGGTAATGTTGCACTATCTGTGTCAATGTACTGGCCAGCGTCAGACTTTGATACTGTTTGAAGCCCTAGTACTAACAATAAATGGACAGTAAAGGCACCCAGACCACTTCATCTTATTGAAGTGGCCTGGATGCAATTTCCATGTTCCCTTAACCTTGCAATGTAAAAAATACAGTTCCTGAGAAACTTGCAATGTAAACATTGCAGTGCTAAGACTGCATCCATGAAATGACGCTGGATGTTCTCACGCTGCGCATAAGGACATTCAGCATGTTTTAAAAACTTCATAGGACTGAGACAATGCCTATGAAGAAAGCCTAATGTGTGCGTCGCGCTCTTCACACATGTGCTTTAGTTCCCCACATCTGTGGATTAAGATCATGACCCAGTGTTGAGGGGAGCACTGGAATTGGGTAAGGGAGAGGGCTTTATAGTGTTAGGTATAGGGATCGACCGATTCTTGGCCAATATTCTGAATTTTTCGCAATATCGGTATCTGCCTATAAAGATACCGATAATGCAGACCAAAGCCGCCATCAGGGCATGAAAACCAAGACGGTTGTCATGGGCCTGGGAGGCCCGCAGCACACTCTTACTTACCTTCCATTCAGCTCCCCTGTCTAAATCTTGCGAGTCCCGTGGCCATCAGAGCGTTGTCACGGCTTACCATGGCAAAGCTGCAGGCAGGCTGCGAGAGTTAGACAGGGGAGCTGCTGGGAAAGGAAGTAAGAGTGTTGCTGGGCCCCCTCTGCAGAGTGCAGACCACCAGGGAATGCCATATCCCCCCTCCCTGGCCAGGTAAGAAGCTGGAAGGGGGGACTAAAACAATGTTAAAAAACTTTTTTAAATGCCCCCTCTCCCCCATTTTACACACATTACATACCTACACAAACACTCACTGCATTTACTATACACACACTGCCTTCATTATGCACACACTACATTCACCATGCACACACTACACACACACTCTGCATTCATTATGCACACACTACACAAACACACTTTGCATTCATTATATACACACTACACAAACACACACTGCATTCATTATATACACAAACACACACTGCATTCACTAATCAAATACTCTCACTGCATCCACTACACACACACATTCTTGAAAACATAAACAATTCTGATTGGCATGTACATTTTGTGTATTTACCTTAAAGGACCACTATAGTGCCAGGAAAACAAACTCTTTTTCCTGGCACTATAGGGTCATTATGTGTACATTTGTGTAGAAATAGTTTATGGTAAATGTACAGAATATCAGTAAGTTATCGGCTTTCGTCCTGAAAGTTCACAGATTATCGGTATCTGCTCTAAAAAATCACTATCAGTCGATTCCCTAATTAGGAATGCACTTTTGTATTTCTAGCACTATAGTTTCCTTTGACTGTTGAGCAGATTGGCTCTTATTTCTAAGATTGCATTGGGGGACCTTCATATTGCTCTTTTGACAATTCCCTGCTACTGTAAGACATGTAATTCCTCATGTACAAGGTACACACTTGTCACCAAGTGCATAACTGGCGGGGCAGTCTCAAATGGGCTAAACATAATGTTGGATCAGTAAAAAATTCTTAATTCTTAATAGAAATCTCAGGCAGCAGAGGAATATCAGGCCTCCCAACAGTCTTGATATTGGCGTGGCAGGTAAAAATTCGGGGTCCTCTACCACAGTCCTGATTTAGTTAACTAATGTGCCGCATCTGGGGAAACCAAGGAACTGTCCATGGACAGCACAGCGTGAAGGCATCATTAGACGTGCTTGCTCTATGAACGGGAACTCGGATCATATCTGTATAGTCCTGTATGGAGGTGTCCAGTCAGGAGACTGTCAAGCAGTCTAGGGTGCTTGTTGCCAGCTTGACCCACTCTTTCAGTGAGCGGATTTGTTCACTAATGGGCATTATCAGTGAGGCCACTGGCATCTTCCCACAACGTCTCAATCTCGTACCTCCCAATGTTGGATGGAATAAAAGTAAGGTTAGATTGCTCATTGGCATATTGAAGGACTCACTTTTGTTTGTAGGCCATTGATTATTAAAATGTGTTAAAGTTCTAGGTATAGGCATTACTGTCTTGTCACCAACAAAAGAACTTGCTAGATTTTTTATATTTTTAATATAATAACACTGAAACAAATTCTTTGGATTGGTTCTCACAAGGAAGTCTAAATAAATCTTTGCTTTGAACTGTGCAAGGGTTTATAGTAAATTTTTTCCTAGAAAATCATGATTTGTTTGAGAACACTCCAGGGGTAACTACATTTATTTTGAGTAAAGTGTTTTTTCTATTACTTAGAATAGTAAATTGTATTAATTTAAGAATTCTCCAAACTAGCGGGTTTCTTTGGAAATTAAGACCTAGTTGTACAGCTTGCATAATAACCATTATGTGTGCTGTTTAGTAAAAGACTTTGATCAAATGGACATTTTGCATCCAAACATTTTTAGTTTTCATTCATCTGGTGTTTTGCTGCAAAGCATCACAAAAAACATTGTACACGAAGTAGCCTTAATTTGTACCTCACTACTGCCATCAATCAAGATTTACTTTCCATGTAATATAGACGAGGGGGGCTGCACATTACTATATAACTTCCTACACACATTAAAGGAACACTATAATGTTAGGATTACAAAGCAGTATTCCTAACACTATTGTGTCCCTCTCCCTGCCTCCCCCCACCGCACTGCTGTTAAAACCCTTTAGTTCTCTTTCCTTATTCCAGCGCCAAACTCCCTTGGCTTTGGCTTAGCCACCTCCAGTGTCAGTGCCAAGGAGAATCTAGTGGGCGTGCACAGCAAGCACCATGTTGCGCATTAGGCCCATAGAAATCAGGGGATCTATCAGTATGTCCAGCTTCATTTCACGGAGTTACAGGGATTCTATAGTGTTAGGAATACAAATCTCCCTCGGACGACCAATGTCATTTTAAGAGAGTCCGTTAGAATCCAAGAAGTGCATCTAGTGCCTGTATGATAATCACTAGAGGTAGTCTTACTTCTGCAAGGTAATTATTGCAGTTTCTCAAAAACTGCAATGATTTACATTGCAGGACTATGGGGAACAGGGACAGTGTATTCCTAACACTTCAGTGAGATAAACTGGTCTTTGTGACTATAGTGTCTCTTTAAATAGTGCAGAATGTGCTTCTAGTTCCTGTCTGGTACACAGTCACTAAGTAAAGTCTTTCCCTGCGATGTAAACATTGCCGTTTCAGAGAAACGGCAGGGTTAAGGGGACAGTGCACCCAGACCACTGCAATGAGATAAAAGTGGTCTGGGTGCCTATTGTGTCTCTTCAATGTTATTTTAGCCACCTACCTTTTCCATTACTCTTAAGCAGCACGAGAACAGCTTTCTTGGGGACCGGGCTAACAAGACACAGAACTGCTGTTGTCCCTTGCAGATTTTTTTGAAATCATTTGGAGGAAATGCTCTAACGTCACTTCATCCCAGCACTGCCTTCTGCATTCACCGCTAGAGTTGACCACTCAGTCAGCACTATAAAAAAGAGGCTTTTATATATATATATAATTTTTTTATTTTTTTTTCCTTAAACAAACATTCACTTTGAAAGGAAGTTGGCAGCAGAATTCATCTTCTTCTTGCATATATTTGAAGGGTTAAATCAGCCCGCAATGCAGTAATTTATGGGAATCTCACATGTGTTTGGATAGGAGAGAAAAGCATGGTGGGGATATTCTGCATACCCTCTCCCCTCCTCCCCCCACAGAGGTGCATTGTTGTTAGTCTTTATAGTCTAAGTGCTTATATAAACATTTTACAAACACATTTTCTACTCTGGTGTCCATGTAAGAAATCTGTTAATTTTTCGGGTCTATTTACCTTTTCAAAGAAGCACTTTGTCAAACTGTTAACAAATGGTTTGACACTTACTTGGCTCTGTTGGATGCCTGCACGGTTGCTTGTCTGAGCTGATATGAAAACCAGAAGTCCATAGTTTTCTTAGCTCCAAGACAGAGAAGCTGTCACCAGATTGTTAGAGACACGCGTACCTTCACCACTTCATGGAATGTTCTTGCACAAGATTTCATCTAGCCCCCTTTTAATCTACAATGTATAAAATAAATATACAGTTTAAATATATTATAATACTGGTATACCAATCCTAAAATTTAGTATATATCAGTGTTTTGGTGGCAGGCAACATACAGGTGTATACTGTATAGGAACTCATAATCGATATACCTGTTTTGGCGGGTGTTGTTTTTTTTTAGAAGTTGGTATATTTGATAGTGATAACATTTACATGAAAAGTCTAAGTATCATGACCACTACAAAAAGCTGGACTGCTCTGGCACCTCTCCAATGTAAATTGTCAAACTGTTTGCTAACAGATTGACAACATACCTGGGGTTCGCCAGTCAACCCCTCCATTGAGAAACAGAAGCTCTCTGCTTGAATCTAGCTCAGCAGTGCAGTTCAATGACTGTGTGAAAATTGTGGAATTCCTGGAGGCCTGGTATTTTCTATAAGATGTTATGTAAAGTGTTACAGAGCACTAGGTATTTGTTTTAAAAGTTGGATATATATATATATATATTCCCCAACAAAGCCTTTTTGTTTTTTGCTAAGTTGGATATATATATATATATATATATATATATATATATATATATATATTTATTTTTATTTATTTTTTTAGATATACATATATCTCCAACTTGGCAAAAACATAACCTTTTTGGTTTTTGCTAAGTTGAATATATATATATTATATATCCAACTTAGCAAAAACCAGGTTATTGTGATTGAAAACCCCTTCCACCTGAAGTCTGTGGATAGTTAATACAATGTTAAATAAGAATCTGAACATCAGTCAAGCCATAAGAATTGCTTTTCCCACAGAAACTTACAAATCTGCATTGATGTTACTACTGCAAAGGATACTGGGTGGGCATATGCAAATTAGTTTAACAAACAATCACATTTTTGCCTCATTCCATTTTAAACATGGATTCCTTTGAGTCTTTGTTTGCTGCATACAACCGCTTTGAAACACAACTTAGGAAAAGATGTAGTAACATCATTGCAGATTTGTGATTTCTGTGGGCAAAGCAAGTCTTATGGCTTGACTGGTGTGCAGATTCTTGTTTAACATTGTAATATATATATATATATATATATAGTTCACATACTTTTTCTTGCAACTGTGTGTGTGTGTGTCTATATATATATATATATATATATATATAGACACACACACACACACACACACACACACACACACACACACAGTTGCAAGAAAAAGTATGTGAACCCTTTGGAATGATATGGATTTCTCCACAAATTGGTCATAATATGTGATCTGATCATCATCTAAGTCACAACAATAGACAATCACAGTCTGCTTAAACTAATAACACATAAAAAATGAAATTTTGCCATGTTTTTATTGAAACAGTCACAGTGCAGGTGGAAAAAGTATGTGAACCCTTAGACTAATGACATCTCCAAGAGCTAATTGAAGTGAGATGTCAGCCAACTGGAGTCCAATCAATGCGATGAGATTGGAGGTGTTGGTTACAGCTACCCTGCCCTATAAAAAACACACACCAGTTCTGGGTTTGCTTTTCACAAGAAGCACTGCCTGATGTGAATGATGCCTCGCACAAAAGAGCTCTCAGAAGACCTACGATTAAGAATTGTTGACTTGTATAAAGCTGGAAAGGGTTATAAAAAGTATCTCCAAAAGCCTTGCTGTTCATCAGTCCATGGTAAGACAAATTGTCTATAAATGGAGAAAGTTCAGCACTGCTGCTACTCTCCCTAGGAGTGGCCATCCTGTGAAGATGACTGCAAGAGCACAGCGCAGACTGCTCAGTGAGGTGAAGAAGAATCCTAGAGTGTCAGCTAAAGACTTACAAAAGTCACTGGCAAATGCTAACATCCCTGTTAGCAAATGTACAATATGTAAAACTCTAAACAAGAATGGATTTAATGGGAGGATACCACGGAGGAAGGCACTGCTGTCCAAAAAACATTGCTGCACGTTTACAGTTTGCACAAGAGCACCTGGATGTTCCACAGCAGTACTGGCAAAATATTCTGTGGACAGATGAAACCAAAGTTGAGTTGTTTGGAAGAAACACAAACACTGTGTGGCGAAAAAAAGGCACAGCACACCACACCAACATCAAAACCTCATCCCAACTGTGAAGTATGGTGGTGGGGGCATCATGGTTTGGGGCTGCTTTGCTGCGTCAGGGTCTGGACGGATTGCTATCATCGATGGAAAAATGAATTCCCAAGTTTATCAAGACATTTTGCAGGAGAACTTAAGGCCATCTGTCTAGCAGCTGAAGCTCAACAGAAGATGGGTGTTGCAACAGGACAATAACCCAAAGCATAGAAGTAAATCAACAACAGAATGGCTTGAACAGAAGAAAATACGCCTTTTGAAGTGGCCCAGTCAGAGTCGTGACCTCAACCCGATTGAGATGCTGTGGCATGACCTCAAGAAAGCGATTCACACCAGACATCCCAAGAATATTGCTGAACTGAAACAGTTCTGTAAAGAGGAATGGTCAAGAATTACTCCTGACCGTTGTGCATGTCTGATCTGCAACTACAGGAAACGTTTGGTTGAAGTTATTGCTGCCAAAGGAGGTTCAACCCTGTTATTAAATCCAAGGGTTCACATACTTTTTCCACCTGCACTGTGAATGTTTTCATGGTGTGTTCAATAAAAACATGGCAACATTTCATTCTTTGTGTGTTGTTAGTTTAAACAGACTGTGATTGTCTATTGTTGTGACTTAGATGATGATCAGATCACATTTTATGACCAATTTGTGCAGAAATCCATATCATTCCAAAGGGTTCACATACATTTTCTTGCAACTGTGTGTGTGTGTATATATATATATATATATATATATAATCACACACACACACACAACATAGTCACAATTTGTTAAGCGTATAGGTGAATTTATTATTCAGTTTGACACTGAATGCAGGATTAAAAAATATTTAACCATCAAATAGTAGAAAATATTTTAATTAAAAGGGAGGCATGAAGCTTGAATAAGGTGTACTGTTTCCATGTCTAATCAAATGTGTCATCTTTTCCAGGGTCGACATCAGGGTATAGAAGTGTCCCTATATCGATCTAGTCAGGTTTGAATATTTTATGAGAAATCTGTAACAGAAGTGATTTCTGCATGATACATTTTAAAATTTCAATGTACATTACTAAATGATATGTTTTAATTAACTACTATATTGGTAGTGAGGCACTCTAAAGGATAATAGATCTCTTGTATTGAATTACCGTTGTACTGGTATTATAATGGAAACCATGTTTGTGACTTCTGGCTTTTAGATTGGACACACATTTCTTGCTTGGTTTGTATCTATGTTTCTTTTGAAACCTGTAGATGATGATGTTTTTTTATCTTTGTGGGTTGTTCAAAGGTAGTTTGTTTTTGGTTTTTAAGGCCTGGAGAATCACTACAAATAAACTATTTAGCCATCCTTTGAATCAACTTCAGCAAGATAGTTAAAGGACCACTATAGTGCCAGGAAAACATACTCTTTTTCCTGGCACTATAGTGCCCTGAGGGTGCCCCCACCCTCAGGGTCCCCCTCCCGCCCGGCTCTGGAAAGGGGTTAAAACTTACCTTTTTCCAGTGCCGGGCGGGGAGCTCTCTGACTCCTCTCCTCCTCCGATCCGCCCCGTCGGCTGAATGCGCACGCGCAGCAAGAGCTGCGCGCGCATTCAGCCGGTCACATAGGAAAGCATTCATAATGCTTTCCTATGGACGCTGGCGTGCTCTCACTGTGAAAATCACAGTGAGAAGCACGCAAGCGCCTCTAGCGGCTGTCAATGAGACAGCCTCTAGAGGAAATAGGGGAAAGCTTAACCCATTCATAAACATAGCAGTTTCTCATAAACTGCTTTGTTAATGAAAAAATGGGTTAACCCTAGCTGGACCTGGCACCCAGACCACTTCATTAAGCTGAAGTGGTCTGGGTGCCTAGAGTGGTCCTTTAAGGGAAAGGCTGAACCTGATGGACTTGAGTCTGTAACTGTAGTTTGTTTAGTTGAAAATATTTTTGAATGTAGGATACATTGGTTGTGTTTGAATGTGTTTTATTTGTTTAAAACAAAACTGGACAGATTAAAGGATCACTATAGGGTCAGGAACACAAACATGTATTCCTGACCCTATAGTGTTAAAACTACCATCTAGCCCCCCTTGGCCCCTCATGCCTCCACAAATATAGTAGAAATCTTACTGTATTCAAGCCAGAAGCTGTAACTCTGCATGCTGTTAGACTCAAAAAAGGAAGGATCTCTAACAGCCATCTGAGGAGTGGCCAGTGAAGTTATCACTAGGCTGTAATGTAAACACTGCATTTTCTCTGAAAAGACAGTGTTTACAGCAAAAAGCCTGAAGGTAATGGTTCTACTCACCAGAAAAAATTCAATAAGCTGTAGTTGTTCTGGTGACAATAGTGTCCCTTTAATTTAAATGACTAAAATCACTATTGTTGGATTGATGTGTAAGGACTTGTTTTAGTACTGTATTCTCGGCGATTCTGGTGATGTTTAGTTTATGGACTTTAGCATTGGCAGTTTATATTTTGTATTTTTGACATGCGTTATGAACTCAATAAAAAGTCACTGTCAATAATATTGATGTAATGTACAAAAATCATAAGTGACTACAGGCAATAATGATTGAGAATGTAAACCTACTGTGCATTTTACTAGATCATTTACCAGCTGCTTTAAACAAATCATTTTATTTTCATTCTTTATAGAAATAATTGTGGAACTATTTATGTTGTGGCATATGTTAATATGTATGCTACTTTGCCATAGCCTTTAACTTGAAAATATTTTTTTTTTATCCCTTCATTCAAACTAAACTAAATAGACATGACCATTACAACATTATTATATTAAGTTATATATATATATATATATATATATATATATTTTGTCCAAATCAAGACTTCTTTTTATATTATGTTCGCTTGTGTGTAGTACAAGCATGTCAAACTCAAATTACCACGGGCCAAATAAAAAAGGTTTAAGTTTATGTGGGCCAAAAAAAAACGTACATTTTTATAGAAACGTAGGTTTGTTGTGAAAAGTCCCGTATATAAATTTTTGTTTAAAAAAAACAGCATCCCTGTCTTGTAAACCGCAGTTCTCCCCTCTATACGAACTCCCAGTCCCCCCCGTCCCCCCCTCTATACTAAATCCCAGCCCCCCCCACACTCTACTTAACCCAGCTACTCCTTGAAACCCTGTGAAGGTGGAGCACGTTAACGTCACGTCGGAATGTGACGTGGCGTTGCATGCCTCCGTGCATCTTAAGGTCCTCCACTGTCCAGCCGCGGCCATTGCAACACTGTCCAACACAGACACACACTCACAAATCATTTTATTTATTGCTCCCTATCTTTGGGAGCTGGTGTGGGGCCTCTCCCTGGGGTCCAGTGGGGATCTTCGCTCAGGAGATCTCCCTCCTGCTCCTCACTGCTCTCTCACGCACGCAGTTTAGTGATGCATGCACCTGGCATCACTACAGAGGGTGCGTTTTGGAGCAGTAAGGGGCAGGAAGAACAAATTGAGCTCCCTCGCTGCAGCCAGCATCCTTTCCCCCCAGCCGGGTAGATTTTAGCAGACTAGGCACCTGCAATGTGGGGAGCACAGGTGCCTACTCTGCCTTAACAGTAAGCATATAAAACTCGCGGCTCGCCAGGCCGCAAGGCTTTTCATTGTGGGCCACATGCGCGAGCCGTGAGTTTGACATGCTTGGTGTAGTACATAGACTTTGTGTGTACCTGTCTCCTGTAGGTCCCCTTCTCCTTGCACAGAGTGACTTATAACTGCAAATATTGAACAAAGAGAATCACAAGTATTTCCAGCCTAGGTTTCCACAATTTACATAAAAATCCTGACTTTTTAAATAAATTTTTGTTGTTTAGCAATAGACATATTCGTCACCTTGCATTTTCCAGTGTCTAATGAGGAATGAGCTATTTATTTTCATTCATTCAAACACCATAACAACTGCTATGTAAGTGAAATATTGTTTGACTTTTTACCTGGAATCTGCTGGGCGCCACTCCCTGTTTCTCTGCAGCTGGAAGCTCTCTGCTGAGCTATACCCAGTGGGGTAGTTCATTGATTAAGAGTTCTTAGTTGACATTTTCAGCTTAGCCCATAATTTATGAACTGTTTCTTGTTAAAACATAAGACAAAGTAGGGATTACTTTGTTTTATGTAGGAAACAATAGGAGAAAGATAAGTTTGAGGTGTCAGAGCCACTTTAAAGGTAACCCATAGTTCCCGTTTTCTCTGTAAAAGTTAGGATTAATCTATATTACCTCCTTTCCAGCGCCGAGACTCCTCCACTGTAGCCTCCAGCTTCGGTTCTATTGATATCAGCATTTAAGCTAAAGTAACTCTTGATCACATTAAAACCAATGATTTTCTGGGAGAAGCATTTGATTGAAGAACCAAGTTTTACTACTCAAGAAGACAGCCACTAGAAGTATCCCTTTTGTGTAGACATTGCCTTTTTACAAAACTGCAATGTTTTACAATAAAGGGTTAAAACTGCACCCAGACAACTTCATTGTGATGAAGAGCTCTGGGTGACTTAAGCCTTGTAAAATGAAGTGATGTGTGGGACTTTAGTGGTCCTTTAAGGGTTACTCCAAACACCATGACCACTTCAGTGATTTGAAGTGGTCATGGTGGTAGGAGTATGTATGTGCAGTATTTTAGTTTGAAACACTGCACATACTAAGTTATTGGCTCTTGTGTGCTGGGGGCTAGTTACACCCCTGGCATATATGACATTAGCAGCCCAGAACTTTGTTCTGCCTAATGTAAATTCTGTGCATATTTTACGTCTGTCGTCAGCTTTGCCTGGCACTGGATTAAGGTAAGTTAAAACATTATTTTTCTTGGCTTTATTGGGGGAGTGCAAATTAATTATTTTTTAATCAGGGTTGGAGTAACCCTTTAAACACTTATATATTGGTTATGACAAGAAGCTTTGTCACTCTATTCTACCAATTTTACTAGCAGCATTTTGCTAAAATTGGTACAACTAAATGCATTACACACCCGTGTATCAGTGGGAAGCTGTGCTGTCTTTTATTCCTCCTCCTATATAGTAGCCACATTGAAATAAAATAGTTCAATGGGCCGGGCTATGTCCACCATATTTATGCATACACACTACATTCTTAATGAAAAGAGTGTAAGGGCCAGGATTGTCTGAGAATCTTTCTTCCCCTCTCCCCCCCATGTTTGTTGCATCGTTCATGCTCTATTTCCTTAATCCTTAATGGGGAGAGATTTCAGAATGGATTGGCTTTTTGCTTTTTATTCTCAATGCATATAAAAGGTAACACAAACATAAACAAACACTTAACAAAGTAAAGATATACAAAACTATTTTAAAATATTTAGATTTAGATGAGTATTTTGTGTTTGTGTTTTAATCGTTTTTTAAGAAACTCTCTAGGCTTCATAACACCTCCACTTTATTGAAGTGGTCATCGTGCTGTGTTTAGATTGTGTCTTTCCAACTAAACTGACTTTAAAGGAACTCTATAGGGTCAGGAACACAACCATGTATTCCTGACCCTATCGTGCAAAACCCACCATTTAGGTGGCTTGCCCTGAGCCCCCTTAAAAGAAATTAAAACTCCCCTCATTTCCAGCGCTGGCTCCAACCCCTTGGTGACATCATCAAAATAGCCGCTTTTTAGCCAATCCAATGCTTTCCCATGGTGAAAGCATTGGATTGGATAAAATCTGCAAGTGGGCAGGGCCAAACACCATTTTGGCCAATCAGCACCTCCTCAGAGAGATACATTAAATCAATGCATCTCCATGAGGGAAATTCAGCGTCCCCATGCAGAGCGTGGAGTGACCACCTAGAGGTGTCCCCAGGGGCAATATAAACACTGCTTTTTTTTCTCTAAATAAAAGCAGTGTTTGCATACAAATGCTTGCATATAATGATTACACTCACCAGAACAACTACATTAAGCTGTAGTTATTTTGGTGACTATAGTGTCCATTTAAAGCAGAGCTCGTAGGCCTATCAACAAGCCCTGTCAGACACTTCCAATGAGTTAGTATGCCACCTCTGTTATCGAGGCACAGGCAGGTGCTGCTCCTCAGCCACAGACTTTCCCCCTCTGCATGATGGTCTGTACTGGGAATACATAGCCAGCATAAATCATCATAGAGATTGGGTAATGCTTTCGACTGACTTAACTTTATCAGAGCACTTAACCACTTCAATAAGATGAAGAGGTTATTGTTTTATAGAAGTGACACTTTGAATGAATTCGGCACTTATTAAAGGGACACTACAGGTGTAAATAGCTGTTTAGGTCCCCAACTCCCCTCCCCCTTTACCTCCGGTTAAAAAGATTTACTCACCTTTTTCCTGTGCAACAAGGGGTCTGGTCACGACTGGATCCACCCCTTGTCTATGATCATCTACCTTGATGATCTCTGCCAATCCAATGCTTTCCCATTGGAACATAATATGAAGCACCTCTACTAGCTGTCTGAATTAATGCCTCTGGAAGTGTCCCTAGGAAGTAATGTAAACACTACATTTTCTCTGAAAAGGCAGTGTTCAAACTAAAATGCTTGCAGGAACATACAATATACACCAGAACAACTACATTAAACTGCAGTTGTTCTGGTGACTATAGTGTCACTTTAAATGAACCTTGTAACACTTCCCCGGTGGTCAGTCAGGCATCCAATTCTGTTATATACTGGAAGTTTAGATCTATGGAGCTATACTCAAAAGACTTTAATGATTGTTAAGTATGTAATTTAACAGCTACAGAAAGTCTGTGCTGGTGAAGAATGGAAGAGCTTTGACTAGCTACAGAAACTAGATCTGCAGCTATTGCAAACCGAGATATCCCCCAAAGAAAAGATTCAAAGCACGCTACATGCATATATTTTTGTGGGTATGGATACTAAATTGTTATTTATATACTTTAATGTAGTGTTCACTTAAATGCTACAAAACATTTTGCAAATGCATTGAAAATTATTTGACTATTATTGGTTTGTGAATGTCAGCCTTTACTAGCCAGCTTGATGTATAGATTAAAAAAAACAAGTGTTTTAATTCAAATAAACTGGCAAGCTTTGTTGTTGAAGGAGGTGGGTTCTAGATAGCCCTAACTGCAATGTGCCCACTCACTACACTGAACTGATGGGGGTCCGATAAGCTTTCTCCTTTGATGTTTGTGAGTAAGGGTTGGCCCTATGGCTGCAGAAGTTACTTTTTTTTTTTTTCAAATCACTGCATTTGTGAGATCCCATGCTCTAGTATTTTCTTCCTTTTACAATCCTTCATTCAATAATTTCCCAGAACACGATTATGTTTTAGGTGCTTCTGATGGCTAGCGCAGCTGTCTGAAACTAATTACGTTTTTATACAGCTAACTTGGAAGACTGTGATTGGAGTGCTGCACATAGTTTGCAAAGCTTCTCAATATGGATGTTAATTCTGGAGAGGGCTTGAAGGATCTGCAACTATTGAAAGCCAAGATTTTATATACCCCCAAAGAAAATAAGTAAAAAGAATTACATCCATTTTCTTTGGGGGTATGTATACTAACTTGTTTTTTTCCAAAAAATATTTGTGAGAATCAGTGTCTTTAAAAAAATAATGGGTTCAATTACGTGATTGAAAAAGAGAACTTTTGGTTTCAATCATCAAAATTGGCAATTTAAGCCAATCCAGTGGTTTCCTATATAAAAGCACTGGGAGGCTATTGCGCATGCGCAACAAAATACAGAACTGTGCCATTCAGCATCTCCTGGTAGAGATGCATTAAATCAATGCAGTTCTATGAGGAATGAGTGATGGCCACTAGAGGTGTTACTAGGCAACAAAATAAACACTGCTTTTTAACTGAAAAAGGAGTGTATACATTAAAGTGCCTGCAGGGATAGACTATACACACCAGAACAACTACATTAAACTGTAGTTCAGTTTAAGGGAATTTCTAGATTTAAAAAGTATATATGTTTGTAGTGGACGAGGTTGTTAAAATATAAAATGAGCATTTATAGGTTTTTTTCAAAATTATTTTCTCCAGTTCGTCTTACTCTTCTTGTACCTCTCCGCATGTGTGACAGCTAAGCTAATTTATTATTTGACTCTAATCTTCTTTTATCAAAATGTTACTTTACAGTAGTAGCTTATGCATTGAAAACAGGACATTTTTACTTCCACAATTTTCTTTTAATGGAATAAACTTTATTTCACAGAATACTAAAAATTATATTGTAGATGCGATGTTTTATTAACATTACTGGCTTAGAAAATGCCATGATTCTTTTCTCTCTCTTTTATTTTTTTTACTGGTTATTTAAAGCTAATCAGTAAGTAAGAAAAAACATAATATATGGTTATTCTCTGAGCTCTGAACTTTCAGGGTTAACAAAGGAATTTCAAATTTTAGACCGAACTAGGTAAATTGGAAAAAATCACCTACTGATCTTCTGGGTTACCATTTCAGTAAAATATATTATCTCTAACAAATGACAATTCAGTGATTTACCCTGCATAATGAAAACCTGTTCACTCTTTTGTAATTCAATATATAGATAATGCATTTAAAGTGATGCAAACAGGATTCCCTTTTTCAAAGATCCTAAAATTGCTCAGCTGATAGAGGTTGTTTGCAGCTTCAGGCAGACAGTCTCCCTTCAAAGAGGACCCATGAATCGGGGACCTCTAATTCTGGGATAAGGTGTCTAATTTTATGGAATAAGTGTCTAATTTTACGGAATAAGTAGTTTATCCCCCAACATTAGTTAGGGAATGCACTGCTTGGGATATGACACCAGGTTACTGTAGGCAACATCATCATTCTTAATTCTGCACTATTTGGCTGTTTATTTTATTAAATTCAGGTGTTAGGGGATTCATCTCTGCCTCTGCAGATTACATTACGAATGCTCATGTACACGCTTTCAGCTACTTGTCTTTTATTTCCTGACTTGTAGCATTTTGAGGGGAAAGTACTCCTGTCTGAAAATCCCTTTCTTGCTACAGTTTTCTCACAAACATATGTATCCCATGAACCTGTAGTTTGACTGTCAGATTTAAATTAAATATGCACTGGTTGTAGCTGACTTATGGAAAAACCAAACTTAAAGAATCACTATAGTGTCAGGAAAACAAATCGGTTTTCCTGACATTATAGTACCCTGAGGGTTACTCACCTTCTTCCACCGCCGGGCTCCCTTACCTCTCCTCCCCGCCAACGTCAGGTCCCCGTCTGACGCCAGCGGAATGCGCATGCGCGGCAGTGCCGCGGGCGCATTCAAAGTGTCCAAAGGAAAGCATTTCTCAATGCTTTCCTATGGATGCTCTGCGCAATGGAGGCATTAAATGCCTCCAGTGTCGCAGATGCGCCTCTAGTGGCTGTCCGGAAGACAGCCACTAGAGGCTGACTTAACCCCAAATGTAAACATAGCAGTTTCTCTGAAACTACTATGTTTACATCAGCCAGGGTTAACCCTAGAGGGACCTGGCACCCAGACCACTTCATTGAGCTGAAGTGGTCTGGGTGACTATAGTATCCCTTTAAGTCAGTAACAGTCTGGAGGCGACTTCCATTAACTTGTAGAGTTGCTTCCAGGGAAATAGTTATGAGCTCAAATTAAGGTAGGTATAGAAACAGATTGCAGGTCATATGTTCATTTACTTGACCCTACCACTATTATCCATTAAGACTTTTACCTAAAGCATAGGAAATTATCTTTTTTGACGTAAGGACACTAAAGATGTGGAATTATCTGCCTAAAGCAGGAGTCTCAAAGCCAATTTACCTGGTGGTCACTAGCCACATATCCGTACACAATCAAAATTCCCATACACATAGAAACACACATGGTTACACACAAATACCCATAGCTACACTCTACCATACATTTAGACATAGAAGTACAAATTCCCATATATACACACACAATATTCTCTCTCCCCAGTGCCTCACAATAGATTCTGCTTCTGTGCATTATGTGCACCAGCCAACCTCATTACTGGAGTTGTGGTATGGGACTGTCAAAGGCAAGCACTTTACTAATAATGCTGGCCGAACAACAAAGCACAGACAAACATTGTTCTCCAGCTAGTCAGTCACTTCAGTTCTATTTCATTCACACCAACTGGTAACTGTATAGTTACATTAGGAGGGCAGTATGTAAAACCCACAGTATTGTAAACTCAGAGTTCTTTTGCTGTATGAGACTGTAAACATACCTCTTCAGGGTCTAGGGTATATTCAGTTTTTAAACAGTTAAAGCGGCACGGTCACCATCTGGGGACTTTGCATATTACGCAAAGACCCCTGTTGTAGACATCTCTGCTGGTAGTTCGGTGGCTGGGAGGAGCAGGCAAAGGTGAGTTTAACTTACCTGAACCTGTCCATCACAGGCACCAGGGGCTGATGTCACTTCAGTACTCTCGTGCATGCATGAGAGTACAGCCTTGAGGTCTATGTAGAGTCCCAAGAGGGTCCGACTTGTGGTAGCTCCATGTCAGGCGTTTTTGCCTTTTATTTTGGAAATAAATACGTTTTTGTTATTGCTTTTCTTTGTTTTGGGCTGCCAAACAGCTGGAATAATCGTTTTGGGCAACTTTTGTGTGTGGTGCCAACACACATTGAGTGCACACAGTATTCTAACTTTAGACACAGTGGGCAAGCTGCAGTTTTTCCCTGTTGCTCTCAGCCAGTAGTTGTTCAGAGTGCAAACAGTGGCAAGGGAAGGCAATTTCTTGCATTGCAGTGTAAATCATACTCAATGAAGTTTTGGCTGAAGCTAGTTTTGAGTAAAAATATACATTAAAGAGGACACTATAGCCACCAAAACAACTTTGGCTTAATGAAGTAGTTTTGGTGTATAGATCATGCTCCTGCAGTCTTACTGCTCAATTCTCTGCCATTTGGGAGTAAAATCAATTTTGTCTCTATTTCTGCAGCCTTAGCCACACCTTCCCTGGCTGTGACAGACACTTTCAATTTCAAATGTTGTTTTATTTATTTAAAGATTCTTTATTTATAAGTTGTTGTTGTTGGTTTTTTTTTTTGTTTTTTTTTTAAATAACAGAGAGATACAAGAGTACAAAAGTACAGAAATTCAATTCAAAACACAATATTTGCAGTATAGTCTGGTACCAACGCTGAGTGCTACATTGGTGTCTCAAAATGTTACAGTAATGGCAGGTATACTCTAGACAGGATCTAAGGGTCTTTTTGAATTCTTCCATGGAGTAATATACCATTAGAATAGCATTTTTATACGCTTGTTCCAAATTGTGATTGAGTTTGAGTCCCAGATGTCAGACCAGTCAGTGGGGTATATGTTAACTTCCTTTTAACGTTTTTATCTCCTGCTCTGTAAATTTAACTTTAATTACATACGGTATGCTCCCACAGAGCCTAACAATATATTAACAGAGCTGGAGATTATTAAATTAAGTAAACAGCATTTGTAATCAAAGAAGTGTGAACATTAGATAACTTCTTTACAGGAAGTGTTTAGGAAGTCTGTGCAAGTCACATGCAGGGAGGTATGACTAGAGCTGCATAAATTATTATAAAATTATTCAACCCCTTAAAACCGGAGGGCGTACTATTACGCCCTATTCTAAGCGGCTCTAAACGCTGCAGGGCGTAATAGTACGCCCTCCTGTTTTTTGTTACTTACCCGGTTGGGGAGACTCACCTGGGATCCCAAGGAGTCCCCCACGGCAGATCCTGTCTCCGCTGGTCCCCTAACCCCCCCACCCCCCCAGCCATGTGAGAGTGAGGACCTCACAATCACATGGCCGGGTTAGCTGGCTGCTGCATTGCCTGTAATGACCGTTAGTCCCCCTGCTGGCTGAAAAAATTATATACTTCGATATTATATATATATATATATATATATATATTCAAATTACACGTAGACTGATAATGATTAAATATATATAATATAAAAAAATTTAAATACGTTTAAAAATAAAATTTAAAAAATATATAGATGTGTGTTATTTCGTTCTAACTGTATTGTGATATTAATATATATTTATATCAAAATACACGTGGAACGAAATAATATATATCTATATACATAAATATATACGTGTATATATACCTATATATAAATAAAAATATTTTTACAAAATTTTATATATATATATATACATACATACACACACACACATACGTGTATATATATGGGCAGTGCTTGCACACTCAGTGTCTCCACACTCTGCATGTAAACACTGAACTTTCATCATAGAGATGCTCTTTGACCAGGGCTATGTTTGACTTCTGCTGGCTCTGCCCCTGATCTGCCTCTTTGACCTTCTAATCCAATCCAATGCTTTCCTTTGTGATTAGCTGAGACAATCACTTCTGATGATGTTGGCCAAGCCGGCACACCAGTAGCAGCAGACTGGAATAAATAATAATTTACTATATTTAAGGGGGGAAGAGGGAGGCAGGGGGGCTAGGTGGTGGTTTTAACACAATGCTGTCAGGAATCCTTATGGTGTTCCTTTAACACCTAAATGGCAGAAAATTGAACAGCGAGACTGCAGGGGCATGCTGTATACACCAAAACTGCTTAATTATGCTAAAGTTGTTTTGATGGTTATAGTGTCCTTTTAACCCCTTAAGTACACATGACGTGTGACATGTCATGATTCCCTTTTATTCCAGAAGTTTGGTCCTTAAGGGGTTAATGTAATGGCAAGGTGAGGCAACCACTTGCTAACCAGCTTATGTGGAATACAACTTTTCCTCCTCCAGCAGTTGGTTAACTGTGATAAGATTTTTAGTCTACAATAGACTAAAATACAATTTTTTTTATAGAAATCACTATTTTTATTTAAAGAAAATAAACTAATACTGCCCTATAGTATGTCTTTCGATTTTGTCCTTATTACTTATTAAACCCATCCATCTGTATGAAAAGCTTTGATCAGGCAATCTGACTGTAGTATTTTTCAATGACATGAATGTGCTTGGACAGTGCCCAGCAGTAACAATGAACTAAGTGCTGGTTAAAAGGGTTGTGGATCTTTAGATGCCAGTTCTGTGTGCATGTACAAATAAAAAAATGTGTTTGCACATACTATAAAACATTTGTTTGTCTTATGTAAGATATAGTCACCGAAAGTGCTTCTTCTTATAAACTGAAGGTGGACTATATTGAACCTGGCAATTAACAGAGGCAAAATATGAGGCATAGACCAGTTTTCATTTTTTTTGATTAAGAACCAGGCCCGGACTGGCCGTCGGGCACACCGGGCAAATGCGTGTCCGAGCGCCGACCCTGCGGTATTCCATGATGGGCCGGTGGGGAGATCAGAGATCTCCCTCACTGGCCCACTTGCACAGGCATGCTGCTGGGGAGGGAGAGGAGGACCCGGTGGAGCTCTATCTTGCAGCTCCATCGGGTTCCTTTTGCGAGATCTGGAGCGTTGCCATGGCACCACCAGAGATGGCAGCATCACCCCCCCCCCTCCCCCAGGCTAAAGGTAAGAAAGGAGGGGAGGGATATAATGCCTTACACATATTACCCTCACACACACACACACATTTCAACCCTCACACTCACAGCATCCATCACACACTGCACCCCTCACATACACACTACACCCTTCACACACACCCACTGCACCCCTTACACATACACACAGAAGCCCCCCAACACACTGTACCACACACGCACAATACTTTCAAACATATATATATATGTACACATACACACACTACAGCACCCCTCACACACATACTGCATCTCCTATACACACTCAAGCCCCTAGCCACACATGCATTACATTACACCACAAACACAACTAAAACCGACCTTATTACACAATACCACACCACAATCAGTTCACTTTACACACACGCAATCCCACAAGCAGGATCCAAACTCATGCACAATACTCTTTCCTGGCCCTTTTTGTTTATGGAGATTCCAGAGACAAGTTGCACGTAAACACAGCGCAAACATGTTATTAAATTTGCTTGCACTGTGCAGAACAAAGCAGGGCCTTTTTCTCATTATAGAGCTCTTCAGCAGAGCTCTGCGCATGGTCTGCCCTGGAAGAGCTTTGAACCAACATGCTCACTTTGAGAGGGGGTATGCATGTCATTGGTGATGACAAAACACACCCTTTCTGCCCTGCCCCCTTCTTAGTGGGCCGCTGTGATAAATGCCCGGGTCGATTTAAATTTTATTTATTTTTTTCCAGTCCAGCTCTGTTAAGCGCTATACATGAATTAAACTTTTAATGTGAAATATACATTGTGGAGCCTGTCATTCTAAAATATCTGGAGAATTACCTTTCATGAACCCCCAGTGCAGAAGTAATCTCTCTTCTATATCTATTTGTTTGTATTTCTAATCATTATTTTCTAAATTACCTTAAATCAGTGTTTCCCAATCAAGTCCTCAAGACCCACCAACGTTCCAGGTTTTGTCAGTATTTAAAGGAGCACTATAGGGTCAGGAACACAAACTCTATAGGGTTAAAACTACCATCTAGCCACCCTGGCCCCCCCATGTCTCCCTAAATGTAGTTAAATCTTACTTGTATTCAAGTCTGCAGCTGCTTACTTTGTCCCTGTTTCATTTAGACCTGCCTGTTGACATCAGCAGAAATGATAGCCTTATCCAATCACAATCCCCATAGGATTGGCTGAGACTGACTCAGAGGCAGAGCCAGCACAAAACGTCTGTGGCTTATTTATATGACTTTGAACGTTAAAACTATGCTTCCAACTGTGTCTCTAGGAACAGTCCATGCCTTCGCTATCTTTTTCTTGTGTTCCTTGTTTGTGAAGGGAGATATCTTCTCTTAACTTTGTGGCCCATTCTTTTGACTTTGCCATATTTCTAATTTGCAGTCAGATATGACAGTCAACAAACCTCTTGCTAGTTCAGGTATTCAAAGTGTTCTAGCTCAAGCACACCTGTTGCAACTAACGAAGCCCCTTATGAGTTGCATCAGGTGTGCTTTAGACATGTTTTTTGCATATTTGTGCTTTTGTGAGGGATTCACTATTCAGGGGGTTGAATAATTTTGAGACTGGAGGTCATTATAAGTTGCATTTTTGGTTGAATTTGTGGAAACACCTTGGAACATTCGTGGTGTTGAGCTATTTCAAATGCTTTTGTTTGATTTTGCTCATTGCAAAGAGCTGAAAGTCTGTACATTTTGATAATAAACCTGATTTTCAATTGGGGTTGAATAATTATGATTACAACTGTATATATACACACATATGTCTGTATGATAAGTTGTTTGTTTCTGTAAATATACTTTTTTTTTTTTTTTTGATTACACCTCAATTCATGGAGGCACATCAGATTTTGATGCCCTTTAGATTAGTCATAATGAAAGCTTAAGTTTCAGCCTTCTTTACCACTGTGGTCAGCCAGTTAGCAATACCTGCTGTGTATAGCTTTGTGGTTCCTATACAGTGTTCATTTTGTCAACTGACAATTGTAGTAAAAGTTTAGTCGATTTAACATTTTTGAGATTTAGTCGACTAAAATTAAAACAATTCAGATGACTAAAATATGACTAAAACTAAAATGGCTTTTTAGTCAAAAGCCCATGACTAAAACTAAATTGAAACTTGCCGCCAAAATTACCGCTGTACAGAGGGCCTGTGGAAGGGGCAAAAGAGACAGACCAGTGCTTGGAAGAGAGAGACCTAGAATGGCTGAGAGAACACAAAGAGACACAGAGGGAATGGGGAAGGGGCAAAAGAGCCAGAGGTTTTAAAGGATCACTATAGGGTCAGGAACACAAACATGTATTCCTGACCCTATAGTGTTAAAACCACCATCTAGCCCCCTTGCCTCCATAAATATAGCAAAATCTTACTATATTCAAGCCTGAAGCAGTAGATCTGCATGCTGTTTGCCTCAGAAAAAACAAGCAGTCTGCTGATATCAGAAGTGGCAGCCTGATCCAATCACAGTGCTTCACCATAGGATTGGCTAAGACTGACAAAGAAGCAGATCAGGGGCAGAGCCAGCATGATTCAAACACAGCCCTGGCCATTCAGCATCTCCTCATAGAGTGAATCTCTATGAGGAAAGTTCAGTGTCTGCATGCAGAGGGAGGAGATACTGAATGTCGGGATGCATTTTAGGCAGCCATGACCCAGGAAGGATCTCTAACAGCCATCTGAGGAGTGGCCAGTGAAGTTATCACTAGGCTGTAATGTAAACACTGCATTTTCTCTGAAAAGACAGTGTTTACAGCAAAAAACCTGAAGGTAATGATTCTACTCACCATAACAAATTCAATAAGCTGTAGTTGTTCTGGTGACTATAGTGTCCCTTTAACTAAACCCATTATATTTTAGTCCTGTCAACTAAAATCTACTGGAGGTTTAGTCGACTAAAACTAAAATGGCTTTTTAGTCAAAAGATTATAATATTTTTGCTGTGACAAAGCAGTGCTCTTTTCTTCTAAAAAGCGTTACTGCAGTTTCAATCATGCAGAAATTTTTGTTTTCTCCTTGTACTAGTCCACAGAATAGCAAGAAAACCTTCCTCTACACTTTTGAGTTGTTACATGTCATCAAGCTTTAACCTGAAGCTTCCAAGACCTTTTGAATATCTAAAACCATTATGTATATGTTCTTAAGGATAACTAATTTTCACCAGACGACTTCCCATTTGTTCTTAGATGTTGACATATTTGGGTAAACACTTGTAGGCACTACACTGTGTGATGTCCATGTCATGGTAATACAGAGCTTATTCTGTTTTACCATTTTAACTTTAATGCTTATCTTTCCAATGGGAAAACATTGTGATTGGCTGAGATCACCACTTTTGATGATGTCAGCAAAGGAGGCAGGTCAGGGGCAGAGCCCCTATATCAGTCTGGAATAAAGGTAAGTGTTCCAGTGTTCCTGGTCCTTTAGTATTCCATTAATTTATTTTGCTTAGGCACACTTACTCAAGCATCATAATCCTCCTCCATGACACCCAACATGCTTGCTTCATTGCAGATGTTTTTGCATCTTAACAGAGTGACATGCACTGTGTTGAAGTTCAGCAGGACTGCCTATTGGAGGGTTCTTGTGCTTTCCAGCCATTTCTTTGGCATAGCAGTCTATAAAAAAAATCTATGCAGATTTACTGATTGAAAATGGAGGGGCCTATTTTTAACGGTTTTCTTCCTATCTATATACTAGCAATGAATAAGATTCCACAGGTATAATCCCTCCTGGATTGTTGCGCTTGGGTAAAAGATTAAAAGGTATTTGATTTGTTCATGCCGCCTGAAATGCATTTGTGCACATGTCTACTAACAACTCTTTGCAGTGTAGAGATTAAATGATTTTTACTATTAAATAAACGTATCCATACTGTGACGGGTACTTATGTAAGGTTACATATTAATATTGTTTGTCTTTGGACAGCTGACATTGTATAAATACTTTACGCTGATCTGCATTTGATTTTACTTCTAAACTTTTTACTACGATATGTATTTATTAAGCTTATCTCCATTGTTTCCCACAGTTATACTCGCTAAATGATTATAAGCCACCTATTTCCAAAGCTAAAATGACACAGATCACAAAGTCTGCAATCAAAGCTTTAAAGGTATGTAATTTTGTCTTTATTTGTTTAGTCATAACCTTTTAAAAACCAAGGCAGTTTTGTCATAACAATAATTATATAATGAACTAAACAGATTGGAAACGGACTATACCTTGTGTTGATATTATATAAAAGTATACTAAGATGGAAAGTTTTAGTTCACCATACATAGTTTGACATACTTGACATACAAATTAAAGGAACACTATATGTCAGAATTACAAACATCTATTCCTGACACTATAATGCTGGTGTGGCTGTTTAGGTTGGAGACCCCGCTCCAATCTCCCCCAAAAAAGGTGAATTTATTTACCTTTACGCACATGCCATGGTTATCTTGCCATGGCTGGGATCATCATTTTGATGATTTGAGCCAATCAAATGCTTCCCCATTGGGGAGGCTATTGTGCATGCGTGGCAACCACTGCACTGCGCCAATCCGCATCTCCTCATAGAGATGCACTGAATCTATGCATCTCTACAGGGATCATTAAGCGCCTTCTTGCAGAGTGTGAAAACGCTGAACGCCACTGCTCGCACTGTGTAGCAACGACGCAGGAAGTACCTTTAGTTGTCTGAGTGACTAGGCACAAATGTAAATGCTGCCTTATCTCTGAAAAGGCAGCATTTACATTGAACAGTCTGCAGAGACAGGCTATAGACACCAGAACCAACACATTAAGCTGTAGTTGTTCTGGTGACTATAGTGTCCCATTAATGGAGGAGGAAAAACATTATGTCCTTAAGCTAGGGAATTGCTCCATATTTTAAATTCATTACTATAATGAAAAAAATGATTGAGTCAGCAAGTACAACAGGATACTGGTAACCAAAATTGAACTGCATAGTTAAAGGAACACTACATGTATTCATGACCCTATAGTGTTAAAATCACCATCAGTCTCAGAAGTAGTGTTCTGAGACAATCACAAAACTTACCCATAGAATTGGCTGAGACTGTCATGGAGGCAGATCAGGGGCAGAGCGGCGGAGCAGCACTGCCCAAGGAAGCAGCTTTAGCAACCATCTAAGGAGTGATCGGTGAAGTTATCACTAGGCTGTAATGTAAACACTGCACTTTCTCTGAAAAGACAGTGTTTTCTGCAAAAAGCCTGAAGAGAATGATTGTACTCACCAGAACAAATTCAATAAGCTGTTGTTCTGGTGACTATAGTGTCCCTTTATAGTGTGTTCTGAAAATGTAAGATACAGTAAATTGCATTAGCTCCGGATGCAGCGTGTCTTGAGATTCTGTCTCTGAGATAAAATCTTTTAAGTTTTTATCTTGACAATAATAAATGTACTGTTAAAGGTTATTCTAAAATATGCTATATTTTTTTTAAATTTAAAATTTTTGTTACCCGTGGTGCTAGTAGAAATTGTACGATAAATATGGGGGAAATAAAAGAAATGGTGCCTAATAAAACAAAGACCATTATTAAGTATTCTGGGCACAGTTTAATTTACTGTCAAGCAAGCATAAAAGGTATTCAACAGTTTTTGAAGAGATTTCAAAAGCCTATAAAAACGAAGAACAGATTTCTGTACATCAAAATACCTTATCTTTTAGAAATTATTATCATGAACAGCAATTTTTATTTATTTCATATTTCTGTTCATCCTTTACTGATTTTTCTTTGAAGTTCCAAAGATCTTAAATAAGTCCTCAGCCAAATACATGTTGAACAGCTAATGCAATTCACACTGCTAATTAATGATCGGATTGCCTGTAGTTTACATGTTTTGCATTATGCCAATCAAATGTACATAATGAGATACTTGATTTTAACAGTACAGCATATTTAAATAAGAGACCTAAATGGCCTTGAAATCTTATACTCTAATTATGTTGCATTTCTTTCTATGTCTTTGTTTTTAATTATAATAAAATGGAAGTTTGATAATATATATTTTTAGGCTAAATGGAGCATTATAAGCACCATAGCTACTGCTGCATGCTGTTGTAGTTACGCTGTTGTGGTTATGGTGCCAGAAAATCATTGTGAGACCCCACTGTTAAGATACATACTGCTTTTAAATGGGTTAACACATACTGGGGTGCTCAGCCCCTGTTCACAGATATTGCTGAAGTGGGAGTTCTCCTTCCATGTGAATGATATAAATTTTGTCTGTTTGGATGTATTCCATTGGCAAAGTGATATTTGTGAGAGAGGCCAGACTTCGAGGGCCTGCATAAACCACACAAGTGTCACACCATTAGAATATGATTAAACTATTAACAGTGGGACAGTGTCACAGTCACCTAGCACCATGCTTACTAAAGCATGCTGTGGATGTAGAAGTGTTTCATCCATCTATGAGTTGTATTACATTTTTTTTAAGTATTTTTACTTTCCAAAAAGAAACATCATTGGGGGATAAATCTCCTAAAATGTGTTTTTATATTTTTTCTTTCCAACTCTAGTCTGTTACTTAGCTCAGAGGTTTTTAATCTATAGGGCCAAATAATGTTGGTTTTAAAATTTACATTTTTTTCCTTTTATTACAGTCTACAGCTGTGCTTCTAAAGCTTCTTAGCTTTGTGACTCATTCTTCAATTTTAAAATTACCTCAATCAACTATTCAACTTTTATGTAATTTATGTATTTAAAAGTTATTTCTGGAAACAGCCTTCATTATCCTCTTCCCAACCCAAGGGGGTCTCCATTACACTTAAAGGGTTACTCCAAGCAGCATGACCACTACAGTGATTTGTAGGCTGTAGTGGTTATGATGATGGGCGTAACTAAGAAGGCCGCGCTGATACAGAAACTAATTTATTGTTGATAGTTGCCTCATAAATATGTGCCTCTTCAACTATTGAAACTGACATATACCACTGAATTAGCATAGGGACCCAATTTATTTATTTTGTAACCATTGTCATTGGTTTTTAAGTCTGTTCACACTAGGGATCGACCGATATTGATTTTTTTTTTTTTTTTAGAGCAGATACCGATAATTTGTGAACTTCCAGGCCGATAGCCGATAACTTACTGATATTCTGTGCATTTACCATTTTGAAAAAATAAACTATTTCTAAAGGTAAATGCACAAAATATACATGCCACATGTAGTGGATGCAGTGTGTTTAGAGATGGGAGCTGTTTGTGTAGTGTGTGTGTGTATATAATGACTGCAGAGTGTGTTTTTGTGTAGTCTGTGTGTGTGTATATAATGAATGGAGAGTGTGTGTGTCTGTATAGTGGATGCAGTGTGTGTGTTTTTGTGTAGTGTGTATAGTGGATGCAGTGTGTTTGTGTAGTGTGTATAGTGAATGTAGTGTGTGTATATAATGCACTGTGTGTGTGTTTCTGTAGGTATGTAATTGGGGGGGAAGAGGGTGAAATTTTTTATATATATATATATTTAAAAAAAATTATTTTAGTCTCCCCCTCCCTGCTTGTTACCTGGCCAAGGAGGGGGGATATAGCATTCCCTGGTGGTCCAGTGGCATAGACTGTGCAGTGGGGGGCCCAGCAGGCTCTTACTTACCTTCCCAGCAGCTGCCTTCAGCTCCCCTTTCTAAATCTCGCGGTGTGTGTGCCGCACGGAGCATTGCCATAGTAACCCGTGGCAACGCTCTGATGGCCACGGGACTCGCAAGATTTAGACAGGGGAGCTACCTGGAACTTAAGTAAGAGCTTGCTGCGGGCCCTCCAGGGCCGCCGGACTTGTCATGTCCTGTTATGTATTATCGGCAATTTCAGTATCTCTATAGGTCGATACCGATATTGCTGAAAATACCGTATATCGGCCAGACCGATAATCTGTCGATCCCTAGTTCACACCCATATCAAGTACAAAAACTAGACTGAGAAGGAGCATAGGCCAGGTCCCAGTTTGTAGCCATCCCACTTTTTGCTTCTAACAGCTATGGATTGTTGACCAATTGTTGCATTAGTGCCATTGCTGCCTTTTAAAAAGACAGCACTAAAAGTGGTTTTTTTGGGGTTTTTTTTTTGCATTTTACTAAATCTTTAGATTTCAATAGAAATGTGCACTTTAATACATGAATGGTTATTACACACCCTAGATGTTAACCATACATTTAGGTCCTGTTACTTCCTAGTAGTTCAGTGGATCTATACTGAGGTCCATCTCCTGCGCCGAATCGAAAAGCCCTATAATTGTTTGAACAGCCACAGAAAGTCAGGGCTGGGGAAGAAGGGGAGGGTGTGCAAATGTTGCAGACGAGATCTGCAGCTTTTGCAAGCTATTTTTAGAAACACTCCCAATGAAAAATGCTTAGTCAAATTAATGCATGTTTTCATTAGCACTATATCTGCTAAATAGTGTTGTTGTTTTTGTATTCTTTTGTATTTTAGTTCCTTGAATGGAACACAGAGAAATGTGTTTTCACATCTTACAATGTTTAGAAATGGATTTATGATATCTAGAGTGATTTTTCTTTTTACAGACTCACCACAGCATAGCAAAATTTAAAAGAATAATAATTCCAAAAAAAAAATACCTATAATCTTACACTTATTAACGGCAGTTAAATTATTGATTGCCAGGAGTTGGAAAACTACTAATACGCAAACAATAGAAACTTTTTGAACAATTTATCTGGCAATGTAGGATGGAAAAAGGCTGTAATAGGATAGACCAGTGGAGATCAAGAAAATGATATAATTGGGATCTCTGGATAAAAAAAAATAGAAACAATGGAAAGCATACATTTTTGAATACTCCTAGCAACAATGACAATGGATCTTGTTGTCTCTCTCTCTCAGGAATGTTAAATGTATGTAAGGTATTGTTTTGTTTCATAACTTTATTTAAATTTCAACAAAAATATGGCTAAAGAATGGATATGAAAGATATAAAGATTGATGTCTCTTTGTTTAACTTTTTTTTATAACATTTTAAATCCAATAAAGATATATCAAAAAAGAAAATAATTATAAAAACATAACCCAAGTTAATATTTATGTTGTCATATTTTTGTTTGCACATCTCTAAGTGAAGTAGCTACTTCTTCTGTCTTTAGTGGTCAAAATCTCCTTCCCACAAACACTCACAAAATGTGTTTTATAATATTTTCTATTGTGTGTTGGAAATATAACGCGCATTATTTACAGTGTTTTAAGATGTGAAGACAATTGTCCCTTTTTTGCCCATTTATATTGATTTTGTTTGTTGTATTTTTTCCTTTAGTTTTACAAGCATGTTGTCCAGAGTGTGGAGAAGTTCATCCAAAAGGTAACTTTTACTTTAAAATATGTGCTTATGGGGTCCCTTCACAGTTATATAAATTTTACAGAGCATATAGTATGTGTGAACTTGATATTGGGGAGACTATACAATTGTACAATTGTAGTATTACAGCTTTACAATGCCATTGTCAAAATTGCATAAATTTAGTATTTCAAGAATGTGGTGACATATTACTTGCAGAATAGGCAAAACCTTATAATTTCTTTTTTTCCATGCAGTGTTTTATCTAGCATGTGTCCCTATCTGTGCTGTTAATAGACACATTTGGGTAATCGTATATACATTATACTATCAACTAATGGACAACAGGCAGAGAAGACAGCATTCATATATTTGATACATCTGTTCTAGGAGAAGCCAGCTCCACTATTGCAAGGAAAAGAACTGCCTGGGCACACAGGATTAAAACAGCATAGCAAGTGTATCCCCACCAACATTTTAATTCACACAGCAGCATTTGAGGAGAAAAGTGTATGAGAAGCTTTACTTGCATGTGCCCTGTCTCTCAATGCTTACACTAACCCTAAGGAATACCCTCTGCTAATAATAGTGTCTATATCAGCATATGGATTTACTAGCTAAAACAGTAGAGATCAGTCTGTGACCACCATCTACAGGTTGTTTTCAAGTTGACAGAGAATAGCTCACTGTAATGCTGAGCCTCCTTCATGCTTTCCCTGCTGATTACACTGTGATTGGTGCTGGGAAGCTGGCAAAGCCTACCACCGGTCACAAGTGGCAGGGGGCATGCAGGGAGGTTTTCCTTTTATATGCTTGGGGATTCCCGTGAGCAGCTGGCCATCTAGAATGACTGATCATCTCATCTGCTGTATTTTCAATTGATTTAAAGTGCTGTATGCAGCACTCATTTGAGCACCGCATACAACTCATCGATCAGTCTGGGGCCATTTAATTACTAAGTTTGGCCCCAGCAGACAGAGGTGTCAGCAAGTATCGATTTGTACCTTATTCTCCCTGATGTAAACTGCTCACACCAAAACATTAGAGCTTATCATTATGCCCTAACATCATTACACCCCATGCTTTGTAAGGCGTAATGACATGTCCTAACGTTAAGGATTTTGTTGCACTTTTTTTTCACAATGCACAACCACCTGGGAGCTTTAAATTATGTAGTGTGCATAACAGCTTCCCTGTGCCAGTTCAGCAATGTAAAAATAAATTAACAGCAAAAAAAGTTGAATCCTCCTATATCCCAATGCTCACCATCTCATTTCATGATATTTTGTATGGGTAATGAATAAGTAATCCTCCTCATTATCACATCCCCAGCAGAGAAGTTGGACTTAATGCTTGTGTACATTTGGAATTAACTACCTAATGTATAATTAATCTTCAATCTAAAGTTGACAAAGGTATTTTAAAATGTGTTCTGCATTACTAATGAAAAGGGGAAAAAAGGTAAGAGTTTTCATACTATCAACTATAGTGCTGTTAGTATAGTATATAAATATATATATATATATTTTTTTTTGTATTTTTTTTTTTGAATGATCTGTTTATATACCATGCTCAATCGTGTACTGGTGCTTAAATGAACACCTCAAAACCTCAAATACCTAAAAAAAAAAAAATCAATTTTTGTTTCATTTTACAAAAAGTGCAATTTTTTGTAGAAATTGGTACTTTTATAAATAAATCTTGTTTAACCCCAGTGGCTGTCCATCAAACTTCCAGTTCCATCAGACTTTCAGTTCTGTTACTTTCAGGTAGTTTTGCATATGGAGCTAGACTCAAGAGGCAGGCATTACTCAGTACTTGCAAAGACTTCTTATTGAGCTGACTTGAGAAGTCTTTAATTGGACAGCCACAAAAGGTCTGAGCTATAGGAAGGGCGTTGCAAAGACTGCAGAGAAGAGATCTGCAGCTTTTGCACGCTGTTTTTAGATGGACACCCAATGAAAAAAAATTAAATAAGTAAATGCATGCTTGATTACATTGGAGATATATCTACTAAATGTTGATTTATTTATTTTTGTATTTTAGAAGTGTAATTTTTTTTTTTGTGTCTTTTCTACAGTGTAAACCAGAATATAAAGTTCCTGGGTTGTATGTCATTGATTCCATTGTTCGTCAGTCCAGGCATCAGTTTGGTCATGATAAAGATGTTTTTGCCCCCCGCTTCAGCAATAACATCATTAACACTTTCCAGAATTTGTATCGCTGTCCTGCAGATGAGAAGGTAAATTCCAGAATTTTCACAACATTTTTAAAATAAGTATTGTTCTTTTACCCATTTTGCAATTATTAAATGAATTATATCTGAAGGAGCTACATTTCCCATTATTTGTTTTCCTCAATATGACATGTAAGAGGTGGTACAGCAAGTATTTAGTAATTGAGGTGGAAAAAGATAGTAGCGCTGTCTGTGAGCTTGCATGCTGGAGATTTTCAAGCTTTCATTGTTCGTGTGTACTCTAAATATTGCTCAGTTTGAAAGAGTGGTGGAGGAATTGTAAGTGATTTCATTGTACTGTTAAGCTTATTAGTAATCTTTCAATTTCTTATAGCCTGTTTGCTTATATTTTAATACACCTAAAGTACTTTTATTGGCTTTGTATTACACAGCCTCATTACAGTGCAGCCGCCAACTCAGTGTGTTCAGTATTTAAAAGGATTTTCTTCTTTTAAGACAACTTTAACAGTAGGACTCTCCTAAGATGTGTGCTTTGACTTTGGCTGGTAAGCTTACACTTTAATAGTTACTGCAGTTACTGGCAGCATCTTGCCATATACTAAAACCCATTGTGAAAGCACTTTTACAAAAATCAGATGGATTCCACTAAAACAGCTTATAGTAGTTATATTGCTCAGTGTGTCCATTTAAGAGCAATTTGGCAAAGCTGAATCCTGCTTATTCTGTTCAGATATTTAGGTTAGGTGAAACTCCATTGTTTATGTGGAAGTCATAGGGGGTGGATTAAAGCACCCGTAGCCTACTTGAACCAAACTACAATAAGATGTTAGAAGCATAATGTTTCTTGGTATCATGTGTAATTAATTACAATTTTCTGCTAAGATAACCTGGTAATTTTGAGTTGAAAAAGGGGAGGAGCAGATGTTCAATTATAGATACATATGATTATTTTTTGTTCTATTTTGATGAAATGCCTCTAAAATATGTATGTATGTTTTTTTTGGTTGTGTTTTTTTTTCGTTTAGAGCAAAATTGTAAGAGTACTAAACCTGTGGCAAAAAAATAATGTGTTCAAGAGTGAAATTATTCAGCCTCTCCTTGACATGGCTGCTGGGATTCCTCCACCTGTTGTCACCCCAAATCTACCTAGTACTGCAGCTGCGGTCAGCAACACACCAGGTATTATCTTCACCCGACAGCAGCTTTTATTTTCTATCAGTTGATGCCTTCATTATGATCTATCATGAGTTAAAATGTAATATTCCTTTACTTTAACAGCATGCATCAACTGCATTAAATCGCAAATAAATAAAATCGATTTTACATAGTTACATAGCTGAAAAGAGACATGCATCCATCAAGTTCAGCCTTTCTCACATTTGTTTTTGCTGTTCCGAAAGAAGCTTAAAAAATTGTCTGAAGCTCTTCCAATTGTGCAACAGACTAGGGGGGGAAATCCTTCTTGACCCCAGAATGACAGTCAGATATCTCCTCGGATCAGGAATTATTACCCCACTAATTAAAAATGATATCCCTGTATGTTATGTTTTTGCAAGTATTTATCCAATTGCAGTTTAAACATCTGTATATACTCTGATAAAACCACCTGTTTATTGTTCTTAAAAAATCTTTTCCTTTGCCTTAGACTAAATCTCCTTTCTTCCAATCTAAATGCCTTACGTAGTTTCCTATGTATAGTTCTATTTATGAATAGATTTCCAGTCAATGGTTTGTATTGGCCCTGAATATAATTGTGTAGTGCTGTAAGTGAATGAAGTTGTGTGAGCTGATGGACATGCATAGCTTACGGCAGAGTATGGCACCATGCCCCTTTTCTCAGGCATTCCAGCTCCCACTCCAACATTGATGCTCTGAGACGACAATCCCACCGTATAAAAGCAGTGAAGGATAAGGGAAGGACGAAAATGTTACCGGGACATTCTTTTTAACATCTTTTACCTATTTCAGTTCCTAGAGGCTTCAGATGGTTGATATTCTGTTATCTATTATAGTTTTTCTTTTTTAGTTTAATGTTTGCCATCTCTTTTAAAATTAATTTGCCTGAAAAATATTAAGTTATACTGTTCTTACATTACTATGTATTAGTTTGACATTATAAATTAATCAGACCAACAAATTGATAACTACATTTGTTAACAACGATTTTCATAATCAATTATTGTTTTTATCGATTATTTGTTGTAGTGCTAATGCACACATAATCAGGCATCAACCTATGTTGCATGTCAATGCCATGAATCTGATCAATTCAATTTTTCAGCCCATTTCGATCTGTGACCATGGAACACTGTTTTGATTTGAAAGGGTGCAGGGGCAGCATCTATGCCACAGAATCACATAATTAAAATAAAATAAAATGATTTTGGTGTATAATGACTGTTACTATGTTATTCTATTTCTTCTAGGTACTCCAGCTACACCAGTAACTCCAGCTAACATAGTTCAGGGTATACCAGACCCATGGATTGCTCAAATAGCCAGTACAGATACACTTGCTGCTGTGGCACAGATTTTGCAAAGTCCTCAGGGACAGCAGGTAAGGATTGTTTGTACCTTGTTAGTTCTATATATTATTTGCAGCAATGATTGGACTCAAGAGAAATTTTACAGCAGGGGCCTCAAACTACTGGCCCACAGGCTGTTTAAGCAGTTGTCCAGTGTCTGATAATGTGTCTGTCGACGTCTGACAGGATGGAAAAGGGGTGGAAACACTACAGAACATCATACCCCCGACTCCCTTTCACAGGCTGTTAGGGGAATTTACTAATGTGAGAATTCAAAGTGAATTTCAAATTTAAGGTCTAAATAGCCAAACTGGAAACATTTTCTAAGTCATCTATGCTTTCAGTTTGACTGTTGTGACATTAAATTTGAAATTCACTTTGAATTCTCACTTTTGTAAATAACCATGTGTGTGCCAGATTCTCAAGGAGAATCCTGTTAGAACAAAAATGCATCCCAAGATGCTATTTTGCCATGCTACATGGTGAGTTAAAGGGAAGGTTTACGTCTGTATGTATGTGTGGTTAATACACCACATTTGGGATTAATAAAGTGCACTGTGGAGCTAATACTGAAAATGCTGGGTTAGTACAGTATGGTGTGGGGTTAACACTGCAGTTGTGTGCATATAGGAGTGTGTGCATCTGGCACGGTGTTTGTGTCTGGGATTACTGTCTTGGAGTTCTCATCTGACTGTGTGTCTGGAAGTATGAGTCTGTGTGTGTTTGTGTCTTTGACTATGGATCTGTGTTAAAGGCTTTTGGGAATATGGGTCTTTGGCCTTCAGCCTCCATGGATATAGATAAATTTGCCAGTGCCCCCCTCCAATCCCCCCAAGGTAAATAGCACTTTACAGCATCTAGTAGATCATAGAACACTATTTCTACATGTCTGTCATTTTCAATCCATTTAATCTGTTTAGATATTAGTGGGTCAATACAAGCACCATATCAAACTATGCTATTTGCTTAGATTATGATAAACAGTGCTCCCTATCTCTGTCTCTATTAATCTTGTTTGTTTTAGCTGCACACAAAATGCAATTCAGGAAACAGCTTGCATTTGTTCCAATGCTATTTCATATGCAAGCCCACTTTATTAAGGCATTAAACCATTAACAAAACATAGTGTCAGTCTGCCACATAGTGGGGATATATGGAACCTTTTTCCTTAAATTAAAATATTCTAGTTTGCATTGCACATAATAGTTATGTATATTGTTAAACTATAGCATTTTTTTTCAATAGAAACAATAATTTATTGATTGTTTGGTTTTTATGAAATATGCCTGTATGTTTAAACAAAGCATTTCAATTATACATTTTTTGTTAATATTAATATACTCCTAAATATCCTAATGCGTAGTGATATGGTTGTTCGCACACATTGGGCCAGGTATGTTTGAGTTACACACAATGGGGCACCCACATATCCTATCTCAGCAATGAGTGTAAGATGCACTCCTACTTCTTGGACCCCATAGGGCTACACAGAAACTAAATGGCCAAGCAGTGATACTTATGCCCATAGTGCATTGAGAAGTAAATGCAAACCTGAACCAGGAATAAATGGTAAACTCAAAATGTGAGCAAATAATTTCTACTTAATTTTAATGTTTCTTACATTTCAATTCTCTTTTAGCTCACTTGCTTTCTTGCCTTACTGGATTGGCATTGCTGTGTTTTTCATCAGTAGTTGGGATTTTTTATAAAGTTTATAGTTTTATAATTTTTATGATTCCCTTTTCAATAGCTTCAGCATCTGGTCCAATCTTTGCACGTTCAGCAGCAGAAGCCCCAGCCTTCTCTTCTTCAAGCGTTAGACGCTGGTCTAGTTGTTCAGCTTCAGGCACTTACAGCTCAACTCACAGCAGCAGCCTCCTCATCAAACACGTTAAATCCACTGGAGCAGAGCATGTCTCTCAGCAAGGTATAACACAGTATATTGTGAACATTATTATGTGTACTTATTATGTAAAGTTTTGCATTTTTCTGTGTGACACAGTGAAAAATGTCAGTTGATCGATAAATTATAACACTTATTTAGTGTGATTATGTCTGTATAAAGATATTCTAATACCAGACTAAAAACGTCCTTTGGTACATGACCCATTACAATCATTTATTTGCAGCTACACATATAATTATTATTATATATACTTATTATAAAAAAAATATAAAAAAAACATAAACCGACAATATAGCCTTTATTAATCTTTTGACTTTCTTACATAATTGTCTTTTGTTCTAAATGGCATTCACCAGGGTAAAATAAACATATAGTAGATACTGGTATATTTGTGCAGGCATGGTTATATTCTGGCAAGTGACCTGGCATAGTGGTTATGGTGCCAGAAGTACCCTGGCTTCATCCTAAAGTAGCCAATAAGCTCTTGAATGGTTAAAACAATTACCTGGGTTCCCACGGGCATCTCCAGTCCAGCCTCCTCTTCAGGTATGACTAAAGTGGAAGTTTCATTTTAAGTATCTTAAAAAAGGCCAGACCAAAGGTGCTCAAGGTTTGAAAACAGTTTGACATACTATGGGATCGCAATGGGGTGACTTACCTGGCATCCCTGCTGCCGATCCGGCCCGCCTGGGCCATGTGACCGCGAGGTCCTTGCCGTCCATAGTAGTGTCAGCAGGGGGAGTGCCTGTAATGACAGGTAGTCCCCCTGCTGCCTGTAAAAAGTAAAATAAATGTTTAAAAACCGTTTGAAATAAAATAATATATACTTAGATCATATATATATTAAATAGATGATGAAGTGTGTGTGTGTATATATATATATATATATATATTATATATATACACACACTTTTACATACATCCACATACACTGTCTAAGTGTATTTTAATATTAAAATACACGTAGAATGATATTTATTATATATATATATATATAATATAAAATATGTAAATATGTTAAATTTAAATATGTGTAATTTCGTTCTAACTGTATTTTGATATATATATGATGGCATATCATTTGCAATAGTAGACAACCCAAAGGTATTGCAAATGGGGTATGTGCAGTCTTTTTTAGAAGCCACTTAGTCACAAACACTGGCCAAAATTGGCGATCAAATTAGTTTTTTGCATTTTTCACACACAAATATTAATGCTAACATTGGCCAGTGTTTGTGACCAAGTGGCTTCTAAAAAAGACTGCACATACACCATTTGCAATACCTTTGGGTTGTCTACTATTGCAAATGGTATGCCATCATGGGGGTTATTCTCATTCCTGGGCTGCCATACGGTGTCAAAGGCAACGTAACCAATCTGGCAAATTTCAATGTGAAAAAAATGAAAAATTTAACTCGCTAAATTTGGCCCTGTAACTTCCCAAAACACCGTAAAACCTGTACATAGGGGTACTGTTTTACATGTGAGACATTGCGCAATACAAATATGTGTATTTTATTGCAGTAAAAGCAAACTGTATTATGACATTCACAGTTAAAATGTCATGTAGAACAAAAAAAATAACATTTATTTTCTCCCATTTTTTTATATTTTATTCGTATTAAATAATGTTTCATAGCTAAATATTTGATGTTAAATGAAAGCCATGTTTTCCCTGAATAAAATGCTATATATTAAGTGTGGGTGCACTTAAAATAAAAAAGGTGAATTACGGTTGAACAGACATAGTCAAATTCCAGGTCTTGTTTTGATCACAACGTGTACATTTGGCTCAGTCCTTAAGTGGTTAATGGATAGCCCCAAGAAATGAAGTGAAACCGGTTATCTTTATATTTAGTTGATTTTATTAATACATATTTTTATTTACGTACTAGAAACTAATGGACAGGTTTGATTTTGGAGATGATTCTAGCCAGCCCGAAGAGTCAAACAAGGATACCCAACAGATGTAAGTTTTTTTTTTTTTGTTTGTTTTTTTTTTTACAGTTACTTTTACTTTTTATATTTGTTTGCATTTTTTCTCATGTTTTGTAACAATGTTATTGATTAATTTCTATATTTTACGTACAGCATATTCTGTATTATTAGTCATAAATTATTATTGTGAAAACTATGCAATCCTTGTATAGACAATTAGGTTTGTAACATGTCCTGGGCATGTTTGGTGCACTCTGACTCTATCAAGAGCTGCTTCACATATCCCACAGGTATGACAATTTTTAGGTGTTATTTATAACTTCAATAATGGAAAATGATCTCCAGAAGAATAGGTGAAAGTGGATGCATGTTGTTTTTTTTTTTAGTTACACCGTGAGATTTCATAAAGAGTCATGTGATCTGTGTTTGTATGGGGGTGTTCTTTGAGGGTTAAACATCTCTAATGATCTGTGGGGGGTATGTTTTAGCGGAGAGCATGTGACTTGCGCCCCTTGCAGAGGTGCAGATCACAGTAACTACTACTCATGGCGTAGCACTCACCAAGTCAGAATTCAGGCTCAGAGTTACGGCAGCAGTGCTCTAACCTACTGAGCATCAGACTGCAATGGAGAGATTACTGTGTTCTGCACCAGGAAGAGGTGCAGACCACATTCCCCATACCCAGGCAATTACAACCCCATGTGCCCTGGAGGAGTTCTGCTGGCTGAATTAAGGCAGAAGAAAAAAATAACTGCTGGCTCCTGAAGCTGCATGTCCAGAGCATTGGATGATAGGATTTCCACATCTCTGATTTTTAAAACTTTTTCTTCCTTTTCCATTGGTATTCTTACCACATGGGGAAGGAAATAAGAATAGCACATAGAATGTGACGGTAGATAAGAACCATTCGGCCCATCTAGTCTGCCCAATTTACTAAATACTTTCATTAGTCCCTAGCCTTATCTTATAGTTAGGATAGCCTTATGCCTATCCCACGCATGCTTAAACATCTTCACCAGGTCACCTTTGCACTTTTTTAGTTTAAGGAGTTGGCTTCAATGTCAAACCTGTCTATTAAAGAGACACACTGTAAACACTAAAACAACTTTAGGTGAATCAAATGGCTTTGACGTATAGATCATGTCCCTGGAGTCTCCCTGCTTAATTTTCTTCTATTTAGGAGTTTAATCACTTTATATAACCAGTTCTACCCACACCTCATTTGGCTGATGCTCACACAGCTCCCCTACACCTTAAAAATAACATACATTGTTTTGGGTTCCCATATTGCACAGTTTGTTTAATCTAGAATTTCTTATCCCCTTCTAATAATGACATGCTAGAGCCTGGAACAGCTTCATGTGTATGATTAAACTTCAGTTAACAGAGCAGGAGATAATAATGTCTAAAGTAAACATACTGTTGTGTCACATCTGAAAATTAAACCTTATTTTTTTCATGTAGGCTCTGTGAGTCACATCCAGGGCGAGTGTGGCTAAGGCTGCATAAAAAAAAATAAAAGTGATTTAAATTCTAAATGGCGTAGATTTGAGCAGAGAGACTGCATGGCATGATCTATGCACTAAAGCTGCATCATTAAGCTAAAGTTGTTAAAGGACCGCTATAGTGCCAGGAAAACATACTCGTTTTCCTGGCACTATAGTGCCCTGAGGGTGCCTCCACCCTTGGGGACCCCCTCCCGCCAAGCTGGATGGAGAGGAAGGGGTTAAACTTACCTCTTTCTCCAGCACCGGGCGGGGAGATCTCCTCTCCTCCTTCTTCTTCCGTCACCGGCTGAATGCGCAGGCGCGGCAAGAGCCGCACGCGCATTCATCCAGTCCATAGGAAAGCATTCTCAATGCTTTCCTATGGAAGCTGGCGTCTTCTCACTGTGAAAATCACAGTGAGAAGCGCAGAAGCCCTCTAGCGGCTGTCAATGAGACAGCCACTAGAGGCTGGATTAACCCTAATGTAAACATAGCAGTTTCTTTGAAACTGCTATGTTTATTAAAAAAAGGGTTAAACCAAGCTGGACCTGGCACCCAGACCACTTCATTAAGCTGAAGTGGTCTGGGTGCCTATAGTGGTCCTTTAAGCAAGTGTACCTTTTAAGCTTGACCATTTTATTTGTTAGTATATTTTTTTTGTTTGTTTTTGAAGAGGGACCATTAGCTAGCCTGTTCTGATATTAATATGGTAGTGATGCTATATGTCAGATAGTTTTGAATTGCAATTTGTCCTTCAAATATGTTTTGAAACGTTACATCTTCATAATTAAATTACTGTTGATGTGTATAGAAATAATAATTAATTTTTTTGTTTGTTTGTGTATGTGTCATGTTGTAGACCTCGAGTATCTGAGTCCATGAACAACTCGCTATTCCATCAACTTGCAGAACATTTGCAACAACAAAATCTTGAACACCTTCGCCAACAGTTTATGGAGCAACATACTCCAAAGGTAATTTATTCACTTTTTTTACAGGGATGATATTATTTGCATCAAGTTTGCTTAAAAAGTTTAGAATAAAACACTGATAATGGGTATGTGTTAATAACACACCAGAAGCCCTATTCATTAATTTCACCTTTCTTGCACTGCCTACAGTGCTGGTCTGTTTGACAGACACAAGAGGCATGTTCTTGTCCAAATGTGAACATCACCTAGTTACACTGATTCATAAAAGGAAATACTGGAACCACTTTGATTCAAGAATGTTCTTTCTCTGTGACTGTCTAGATGCCAGCCAAGGAAAATCAGGATATGTCTGAATCTGAAAACTCTGCTACACCTTCTCAAGATGATAGCCAGCAGACCTTTCTAGATCAAGAATCACAAATCCATGCTTCTATGAACATGCAACAAGAGGTGAATAGCAATACTAAACTACTACATTTAACTTAACCCATTAATAACATTCTATATTACTGTAAAATATTTGCAGTTCAGTAAATATATGCAAGCCATTTTCCAGACCATCAAGCTGAAGAGCCTCACCACTCGATTTAACAGGTCTAGTTGTCATTCTAAAAACTATTTTACATAGACTTATTATATTGCTTAAGCAACAGAATTTCTATCAGTTAGTGTAAAGCCAAAATGTTTATTTGGTTTGTAGGTTGATTTGAGTTAATATGAAGTGCACTTTTTTTACAGTCATTGATTTCAATAACAGTAATTATCGGTGTGATAAAAATGAAAATTTAAGTAATGTTTTGAATTGTGATATATTGTTTTTAGGATATGGATATTGAGGAAATGCAAGATGTAACTGAAGAGATGTTTGAGAAAGAGGAAAAGAAGATAATGAAAGATGAAAGACCCAGGACACGTTCAAAATCTCGTTCGAGGTTTGTGATCATTACTTTATTTATAGATCTCTTTGCTTTTTCAAAACCATTGACTAAATTATCTAATTGAAGATTTTGTTATCTTTCAAAAGATCCCCAAGAAAAAGGCGGTCAAGGTCACGCTCTGGCTCCAGGAAACGTAAACACAGAAAACGTTCTCGGTCAAGATCTCGGGAAAGAAAACGGAAGACATCCCGGTCATACTCAAGTGAGAGACGAGCAAGAGAGAGGGAGAAAGAGCGGCAGAAAAAAGGCCTACCTCCCATAAGATCCAAAACGTTGAGTGGTATGTACACTGTGCTCCTTTATTTATTCTTTTATTTAAACTTTTTTTTTAATTATTATTATTATTTACAGCTTGTTACATTTGTTTTTAATATTTGCTTTCAGACGTATATGTAGACATATGTTATAAAGATCATGTACTAGCATATCTTCTAGTCACATTTTACATTTGCATATGTAAAAATTATGGTTTTTTTCTTCTCATTTTACCTTCATTAGTATGCAGTACTACACTGTGGGTTGGTCAGGTTGACAAAAAAGCCACTCAACAAGATTTGACCAATGTTTTTGAGGAGTTTGGACAGATTGAATCAATCAATGTAAGTATGAAAGAAACACAACTTCATATGGTTTATTAAGTAGTTGGTCCTTGTTACAGACTGGAAATTGTGTAAAAATGTCATGTTAAAATCAGCTTATTAATTTATAAATGTAAAAATATGTTTGTAACTTCTTACCACATAACTTTTTTTTTATTTTTTTTTATAGATGATTCCCCCAAGAGGATGTGCATATGTCTGCATGGTTCACAGGCAAGATGCCTTTCGGGCTCTTCAGAAGCTTAGTGCTGGCTCCTGCAAGATTGGATCTAAAATAATTAAGGTATGTCTAGCCTTTGAATGGGTCATGCAATGATAAACAGTTTTGTAAAGGGACAAGAAATTTTCGATTTCCTCTTCAGTAAGTGAAGCATAATATATTTTTAATATAATTTTTTTTATGTATAAAATTTATTATGCGTTTGACAAGATATTCTGCATTGGACTCACTATATATTTTCTTATGTTCAGATTGCTTGGGCCTTAAATAAAGGTGTAAAACAAGAATACAAACAGTTCTGGGATGTTGATCTTGGAGTCACCTATATTCCATGGGAGAAACTCAAGCTGGATGATCTAGATGACTTTGCAGAAGGTGGAATGATTGACCAAGAGACTGTGAATAATGGTAAAAACCCATTTAACTTAAACAGGGTATTTATGTAGTTTTTCTTTTAATAGTGAAAGCGTTCTAGTAAATGTTTTACAAGCAGTATATATATCTTAACCCATAACATTCAAACTTCTCCTCATTAACTTCAACCACCCAGCAACCTTCACTGCTCCCTCTTTTCTTTTTTTCACGCACTGCACACATCTCTCTGTACACTTTTCCTACTCCCAAACAATCTCATCCTAGACCCCATCCATACAACACCCATTCTCACCTCTTGTCATTGTCTCTACTTTTGTTTCTAGCAGCTGGTGATGTCTCTCCCAATACACAGGGTCTTTCACATTCTCTGCTCACACTAAGCCAGACAGAAAACATATGAACCTCATGCCCATACCCTGTTATTTAATGCTCAATTACCAACTTTCAGTGTGCGTTGTGGAACGCCCGCTCTGTCTGCAGCAAACAAATTGACTATACAAGACTTTTTCATTTCAAACTGTCTGAGTCTGAGAACTGGCTATCCCCCTTTGATAGCGCTGCTCCAGCTTTTTTAATGCGTCTGTGGCCTACAACTATCCCACACATTCTCAGCAACTGTAAAGGAAACTTTTGTGGCATCCTTTTCTCCCCCCAATTTACCTTTCAACCAATCTCCCTTGCCTTATCTTTTCCTTTGTTTGAAGTTCACACTTTCTTTTTAAACCTTTAAGAACTGCCATCATTGTTCATCCCAGCTTGTTCATTGAACACTCTCCTTCCTGGCCACCCCACTTTTTCTCCTCTAGCACTCCATCCCTTATCCTTGAGGACTTTAATATCCCAATCAACAACCCTAACTACTCTGATGCCTCTCGACTGCTCTGTATAACGTCCTCCTTCGGCCTCACACATTGGTTTAACGCAGCAACTCATCTTCACAAACCTATGTACCACCTCTAATCAACCACAGTTTGCTGACCATTGACATCAGCACATCCCATAACCAAATTATACCACCCTTGGTACATCAGTCTCTCAGAAAATGCTGTTGTCTTGACTTACAGCAACTCTCCACCAACCTCCAAACTCTCCTTTTATCTATCCCAAACCTCACCTGCCCTAGCTCTGCAAATCTCCCTTTACAACTTCATCCTTTTCTCTTAAATGGATACTCTGGCACCTCCTACATTTAAACATTGTAAGCACCTCCAATTATAATATTGGCACACCAAGCAAACCCGGTACCTCCAAAATTGCTCCAGAACTGCTGAACAATATTGGAGAAATCTGAATCCGACTTTCTCTACTATAATTTTATGCTATGCTCGTGCAATATCCACAATCTACCAAGAACACAAACAACTCTTTTACACTTTTAACTCTTTTCTCTGCCCTGTTGCTTCTCCTCCTCCTGCTAACTGGCCCCGTACTGTTCTGAATCTGTACTGCTTCCCTTGGTAAACTCATCAGCTTCTTTGGCTTCCAGCATTACTTCTATGCAGATGGCACGCAAATCTATCTGTCCTTTCCTGAACTCTCGCTGTCCCTATTGATTTGTGTCTCTGGCTGCCTCTCTGCTATTTCTAACTGGATGGCTGCTCAGTTCCTTAAACCTTAACCTATCTATAACAGAACTTCCCCCTTTAAGCATTGCTACTCCCATGTCTATCTCCTTCCAAGTCAATGGCACTACCATCAGCTCTACCTTGTAGGCTCGCTGGCTAGGTATTCTCTTTGACTTCAACCTCTCCTTCACCCCTCAACCTCTCCTTCACTTACATCTCAAAAACATAGCGTGCATCCACCCCTATTTAATGCCAGATGCAGCTAAGGTGCTGATCTATGTTGCTGTCTTCTCTCACCTTGACTACTGCAATCCACTTCTCAGTGGGTTTACATGCTCCCAAGTTGCCCAGTTACAGTCTATAATGACTGTGGCAGTGACGCTCATCTTCCGCTCATCTTCCTGTCCAACCATACTTCCTACGTCTCCCCCTTCTGTTAGTCAGTACACTGGCTTCACATAAGATATAAGGCTCAATTTAAAATTCTGGTACTTGCCTACATATCTCTACATAGCACTGCTCCGACCTACTTAGCCTCACTAATACACAAGTATGTCCCGCCGACACCGCTACACTCTACCGTAGACCTGTCCAGTGCTGCACCATTCCTTTGGAACTCCCTTCCCTGCTCTGTTTGACTCTTTCTCTGTTTCTTCAAAAACAAATACTGTATTTTCTGGCGTATAAGATGACTTTTTAACACTGGAAAATCTTCTCCAAAGTCGGGGGTCGTCTTTTACGCCGGGTATAGGGTCTATATGGCTGCCGGGGGCGCCCTTCTAATGCCGTAGCCTGAGCGCTCTATAGAGAGCGCTCAGACGGCTGCCACACTGCCTCTCTTCTCACCTCCCCTTCCCTGTGCAGAGTGGGTGGCTGAGCTCCTCTTCGTCCTGTCAGTCCTGCCGGGGACCGCGCAGTACAGGAGATTCAGTTACCTGTTCCCGGCCGGACTGAAAGGAAGTGAGCACTCAGGACTGACAGGACGAAGAGGAGCTCGGCCACCCACTCTGCACAGGGAAGGGGAGGTGAGAAGAATGTAGGAAGGATTGGGGGAGGAGGAATAAAAATAATGGATGTAAAAAGAATGGAGGGTGGGAGTAAAAAGAATATATCACAATTAGCCTCCTGTGTGCTAGACCAGCAGGCATGGATTATATGCCCAAACAGCCTGGCACATACCTGGGCTTTAAATGCTATTTCAGATTATCATTATTTAATGTCTTGCTGTGTAGCTCTGTCTGCTCACTGTACATCATAGCTAATTTTTATTTGGTGTGCATTGGAAGAGGGGGTAGTATTATACGGCGAGTATATCCCAAACTCTATATTTTAACTGGAAAAGTTGGGGGTCGTCTTATACGCCGGAAAATATGGTATTTGAAAGCTCACTTCTTCAGGAAAGCATATCAGTTAAAGAGTTAATAGTTTTTCCTCTCCACACCTTACTTCCTCTCCTGCAACTGTGTCCTCCCATTGTACAGCGCTGCAGAACACTTTCTAATTGGTAATAATAGCATACATTGTAATATTCACATTTTTATTACATCATGAAATATGACTTACATTTTTATTTATTTTTTTAGATTGGGAAACTCAGAAAAACCCTGAGCCTTCAACAGTCAAAGAACCAGCTCCTAATCCCACAGTAACAACCACTGCAACGGTGCAGAGTTCTACTATTCCTAAAAATACAGTTATAACAACTCAACAAGAGGCCTACAGTCAGCCAGTTGCAATGCTTCAGGTAAAAACTGTAAAATCCTATGTTGTCTTAACTTTTCACAATTTGAACAAATATGTAGTATGTTATTTAGATATATTAGACATGCAAGAATGTGTTTCAGTTTACACATATAGTGTTTTGTAAGCAGAAGAGAATATTGTTTTCATGCAATATTTTACTTGAATGTGTTTGTAAAGTCACTGTCTTTTTCATGAGCAAAATCTTTATGAAAAACTCTTGTAGAATGTGTAGGAAATTCATCGGCATTCTAACGCAATTTTATGAAGTGGGTATTACTGTGTTTTATGTGTATATACAAAAGATCTACAGTAAAGGAAAAATAAAACTCATAGAGTAATATAGTTAATTACACCAATATGCTAGTGTTCAAGGTTGCACTCACAAAAGTATATTGATTCTAGGCATATCAGATAATTTAGACATGGTATAAGGTCCACAACATGGAAAATGGGCATGTAGGAGAGCATGAGAAATACACAATAAGTGTAGACTGTTAAAAACTTGATTATGCACTTAGATAAATGACACTTACAAGCTTGAAGTGATATATGAGCATATCAATATCCACATATATTTTATGTGTGTGCAATAATTGGCATGCTTTTGTAGCCAAATCTTGCATTTTACATCAGTTGTGGCAAGCAGAATGGTCCGTAATAGGGACTGTGCATGGTGATGTGTAATGGAATGTGGCCTGCAAGTCTAAAGCACAAGAGGGACCCAACACCAAAGCAATCTTAAAGTTAACTCTGGGCTGTTCTGTTTTTACATGTAAACAGGCATATGTCATTCACAGACCAACATGTATTGCAGGTTTTTTATGTTATTTTTTTTCGTTCAAAGGGGTTGTCTCTTAAATTGTTGCTAGCCCTTTAAAGCATCAGAGTTCCTTCTGGAACTAGAAATAGAAACTTGTTTTATATGACTGCTTAAATATTAAGCATGCTGTAAGACACTTGGTACACAATGCCATTGAATGAATCATCTTGTATTAATATTCAATTTATTTTTGTCTGAAACAGATCCCAGTTGCTGCAACTGTCCCAGCTGTAAGCTTAGTGCCCCCAGCATTTCCTGTCTCTATGTCAGTGCCTCCACCAGGTTTTTCTGCAATCCCACCACCTCCATTTTTACGGACAGGTTTCAACCCTTCCCAACCACCACCAGGTAGGTTCATTGTTTAATTTATAAGCATTGACATATAATACAGAATTCTGAGATCAAACTTTGCTTCAGGAGTACAATCTCACCATTTACATTTGTATGAAAGGACCGTTCCCGACACCAGTCCTTGGCGCCATTTTACCTTAAGGGGTGAAACCATTAATGAGCGGTTTAACCAAAAAGTATGAAAGACCATGTCCGCTTCCTCTGCCACTTCACTGAAGGTTCAAGGCATCTGAGTGCTATTGGAAGGCTGTGAAAGTCATCTGGGAGTTGTGGCTTTGGTGTTTACAGAGTACTAGTCATTTCTCTGGTTAGAGGTGTTTTATCTAGGAACAGATACCTAAACCAAAGGTCCCTGGTCACATGAAGTCTATTTTTGTTGTGTCATGCAGAAAGCATTATTTCCTCACACCCACTATACATAATAGGTGTCAAACATATAAAAGAAATATAAGGATTTCAATAATGTTGCCACATGTGGCAGTTCCAGTGAGGCTAAAGGAGTACTAAATAATTTGGCTTTTATTTTTATTTATTTATTTCCCCACAGAGGTCTATTTAAAGGAAAACTCTGGGCACCAACATTACTTAAGTGCATTTGGTTTTGACAGATTTTGGCCCTCATGTTGTGTTTTCCTGTTCAAATCTCATTCGTTTTCACAAAGCAACTTTTTTATTTGACTTCTTACCTGTATGCTGAGGAGATAAGGGACAAATAATAAGATGACTGTGCTTGGCTATTGGGTGGGGTGATGTCAACAGCTGAGCTCTGGAGTATGTCCTTTAAATACATGTGATGACGTTGCTTTGTGAAAAAAAGAAACAAAGGGTGTGTTTTTTTGTGTTTTTTTTTATTTTTTATTCCCTTTGTTTAATGATAGTGGTATTTTTGTAAAATTGAACCAGGCAAATTTAAATGAAATACCGTTTGGGCTGTGCAAGCGTGCCCCTCCAGCTAATAAAATCAAATTTACAAAATTTTCAGCCACACAAGCAAAGGCAAGAATACAGCTTATTCTTCCTAATTATCTTTTCAGTTTTAGTAAAATGCTAATAGCATTTTAAAGCAGAAATGCAGATTGTAGCTATGCTGGTCACTTTTATTTTTCTCTGCTGTGTAGGTTTTTTTTTTCCTCCTGAATCAGACAATGTTTGGTAGAGATTCCACATCAATCCATAGATAAACAGAATTTCATAATGCAACAATATATAGAGTTCTCTACTAGATATAGATGTTTCTCTGTATGTATGATTTAAAGTTTTGATGTCTGTGGTGATCTGTACCTTCTGTTTACTACAGGTTTTATTCCGCCTCCTGTACCACCTCCTGCAATTCCCCCTCCTCCTCCTACTATTAGCTCAGCTATTACAACAGGTGAGATATTCTACCCTTAGCAGTATTGCTATTATTTATTTCAGCTCTTAAACATCTACGTTATTACTAAATAATATTTTTATTTTTTTTTAATTTACATTTCTTCATATATTTTCATTATGATTCAGTTTATGTTTGCAGTATAATCCATTGTACTGCTATGATTATATTCTGTTTTTGTGTATGAAAATAACATTAGAAATTTTATATTATGTAAATGCTCATTATTTGTAGGAGAACTATAGTCCTAAATTGTGAACATTTAGTGCTTGATTCAAACCTACTGTTTTAAATGCACCAAACGTAAACACTGTATTCTGTGTTCTGATGGGTATTTTGTTGCACAGCGTATATATTCATTATCAGTAGAATTTTTTTTACTGACTTTTTTTTTTTTGGGATGGTGGTGACAAATTTCACTTTTATCCCATTGAAATCTTATTTTTATTTATTTATTTTTAGTCCATATACATGAGGTCTCATCATTTATTGTGCACATCTGCTGATGCACATAGGAAATCATGGATATTTGGAATGTGCATTGGATTCTGGGCTTTTCCAGAAACAACTTCTATTTAAAGCAAATTAAAGTTTTAAATAAATGCAAGATTTAAATTCATAAAATCACAAATAATAATCTAGCCTTTCTCTCCAAAGTGACAAGTTGGTTTTTTTTTGTTTTGTTTTTTTTATCATTGGTATCTGTAGGGAATCTAAGACTTTGTTTATATATTTGCAGCTCTAGTTCACCAACGAATCCCCATACCACCAGATGCCATGAAGGAGGTTTCGTATGGAAGTATGATGTTACCTGTTAGTTCAGTTGTAACTACTCAGACTACTCCAGCAGTGTCTACACCATCTATTTTCAATCCTGTTTCAAGTAACCAAGGAGAGCAAGACGAAAAAAGATCATTTCCTGGTGAAACACAAGTGCCAGAAAGTACATCTACAAACCGTAAGCATACCTTTTTTTTTTTTTTTTTGCTGACCAATGCATTTACGCTGTGTCAGTGAGAGGAATGCCTTTATTATTAAAAATTAATTGTAGGACAGCAAGCTTTTAAAAAAAATAAAAACAAAATCACAGCTTATCTGTTTGTTGTGCATTTGTACTCACTGCTAACAGAATTGAGATCAGCGATAGACCCCTGCTATTTGGATTTCATTTCTGCAGTGGCATTAATTCCAAAATAGCTTCACCTGTCTATTCATGATTATACTCTTTCTTGGCCACGTTCCTTTTATTTATATGTATTACCTTTTCCTTTTTTGATTTTAATATCTGAGTGTAGCCATTTTGTTCTAATCTGTCCATTATGTCTGCTGTTTGCCCCTCTATGGAATTGATTTTGTTGATGGATTGTGGGTAAATTTGATTGGCAACTGAAACCGAACCTTGCTTTAAGCTGCACTAATTGTCAAGTTTTGTCAACTTGACTGTCATACATAAGGAATGTATTTTATGAAAACAAGCGCTCAGGAATAAAATAAAGAGATTTGGTCACATGGAGCAACATAGAAGTAGATTAAATAACTATATAGCCAAATTGTAACTAAATTTCCCAATTTCCATGCTACAAAAAAGAAACAATTAAGATGTCTGGGGTCAATTTATGATTGAGGTATCATTGGTGTCAAGTTTTGGGAGTAGCATTAAGGTTCTTGTATCAGGCGAATTGGAACAGCTCAAGACAATTTGGAATAGCAAAATTACCTATGATGAAGAGACCACTGAGATTTTAGCAGACAGTTGAACTGCAGCCAAATGAAAGTACACATTCAGTTGAAATAATTAAATCTGACTTGTGAATTCCTGAATTGCGACAACCAATTATTTGAATGCTTTTACAGTTGCCGTTGGTTTGTATTTTAACTGTTGTATCTCTGTGTTTTGTTGTCTTTATTTTATATTGATCTGGTTTGCTTTTACCACCAATACCACTTTTCATCTTACTCCTATATTGATTAACTTATTTTGACTTTTCCAGATTCTCAAAGTACCGTGGTTAGCAGCACTGGGATCCTGGGTGTGCAACATCCTTCTCCTGTTACAGCGCATATTCCTCATTTAAACATCCATGGTCGAGTTCCAAGCATGCCTTTTTTGGATATTCGTCCAGGGATTTTGCAACAACCACCTACAGCAAGATTTGCTATGTTACAACCTGGATTGCCTCCACCACCTCCTCCAAGAAGCATCCTTCCTCCAACATTGATTGATCCATCAGTCCATCCATTGCCTTTTCCACCAGGTGACATTTTTACCCACCCTGAAAGACCTTATGGTGTCCAAGGGAGACCAGGCACAGATGCAGTTAATATACAAGAAAAAAATATACCTGTTCCCAATGACCACATTCGGCAAGACGGAGATCAGGATTATCGTTTTCCACGAATAGAAAAACATGAGAATCCTGGTCAGACATCAACAGGTGAACACGGTAGTGGAAGAATGCCAGCTGGAGGTAGCCAGGATAATCAAGGCGTTAATTCTGCAGAGCAGTCTGATGTTGGACATAAAGGGGATAATCACGAACTACAGGATATGGCCGTTGTAGATCCTTGTGAGGGTCAGGAAAAGCTTATTGCAGACTCTTTGGGTCACATGTCCCCCGATGAATCCCTTGAGAGTGAAAGGAAACATGAAATGGATACTTTAGACAAAAGCAGAGCCCCTGGTCTTCATGCATATGATATTGGAACAAATTCCTCAGACAGCCATGACAGTCAATTAAGACCACCTGTGGATATACGGCCGCAGTTTGGAGGTCCTCCAGTAGATATGTTACCACCTTTTGGGAGGCATCTATTTGAAGGCAGGGAGTTTTTCGGAAGACCACCTTTGGAGGGAAGGGATCATTTTGGCAGGCCACCTATAGATGTACGAGATCATTTTGTGAGGCCCCCAATGGAGAGTAGGGATCATTATGGACGACCTCCATTAGAGGATAGGAGTCATTTTGGAAGGCCACCCATTGATGGTAGAGAACATTTTGGAAGACCACCTCAAGATATAAGGGATGACCACGGAAGGCAGCCTCCAGATGTTGGTAGTAGAAGAGAGCACTTCAATTTTCCCCCAGATAAACCTTGGGGACATAGAGGTGATTTTGATGAAAGACAACATCACTTTTTTCCTGGGTTTGGAGGGCCTAAAGGCTTTCATGATGAAAGATTTCGCCATGGAAACCACAGGCCAGAACTGAGAAATGTTCCTAATTGGAACAGGGGGTTTGAACAAGATGGACATAGGGATTTTGATGACCGACGAAGACCTTGGGACAGACAAAGGGATAGAGATGATCGAGATTTTGGGTTCCGTAGGGAAGTCAATGGCAACCGTTTTGGAAGAGAGAGACCACCAAACTGGGTGCCTCCTCAGCCTCATGTTTTTGAATATTTCCCTGAGGCAACTTCTGTTCCACAAAAAGATGACAGTGCTCCTCAGGTTAATGGTGAAAGTCCTGAAAACAGCAGTGAGCAACAAACTGTTAAAAAATCAATTGATACTGAACTTTCTGAAAAGCAAGAGTCTCCAGTCAAGGTGAACAAGGAGAAAGATGTCAAGGAACCTGAAATAGAATGTCAACCAGTGGTTGAAAGCACAGAAACTGAGGGAACATAATCATCACTCAGTAGGTAAAGATACCTTTTGTAAAGTTGTCATCTCTCTAATAGAATAATGGCTGACTGGACCTTAGTAGTTTGCTTTTTATCAGCCAGAATTAAGTTAATCACCTTTCACTTAAATAACTGTACAACTGACTTGTATAGACTTCTCTTACTCTGAAAATTGTAGGTAGAGAGTTTTTTTTTTCCCATTAGGAATCCGCAAAACATTGCCCCACTTGCTTTTAACCAAATCTTTAAATGTCCATAAAAGAGACTTCCTATGGAAGAACACAACAATTTTTAATGCTGCCGATGCGTTGGATCTGGTTGCATTTCAGGCTGCTTATGACTTTTAAGTTTAGAAAAGACGTGAATATTTCAATGTTCCTTCAAATTGGCTTAAAAATATTACTGCCTGTTTGTGCAGATTGCAGTACTAAGATAAAAAAGAAAACAAATATTTTGTAAAATTGACATCACAATCCCTGTAATAATCAAAAGTTAAGTGTCTGTGATTTATTTCTTGTACTGCAGTGAGTAAAACAACGAAATATCTGAAAAAGTATGTTTAAATGTTGGGTGCATTTTGTTTTTAGATCCTAATAAAACATTTGTTTGATAACAGTGTGCCAGGTATTGTATTTTTTTTTTTACTTGCCATGTTGTTAAAAAGTGGGTTTCACATGAGCATGTTTATACATATAGAACATTGCTTAAATAATTTATAAAGGACAGTCCTTATATTGCTCATAGGAACATGCATTGGCACGTGCTGGAGATTTGTCTCTTAAGACCATGTACTCTGTGGCTTTGCTATGTTCCAACGTAATTGTATTTAAAGTGAAAGAAATCTTCTTATAATATAACATTTGTCTGAAACATTTTTCTTCTCTTATTTAAAAAACAGTAATGATGTTTTATGGATTTTATTTTTTTTATTTTTTTATAATGGGGAAGCGTAGGATTTTTTTTTAAATGGAGCATAACTTCTGCACTGGTGAACTAGTGTTTTGTTTATCAGATAGTATGTATTATGTGCACCTTTATTTTTAATTTTATGTTTTGTGAGAAGCTAATTACATGTTCCTTCAGATTTGTATTGCAGAGGTTGTTATTGATATGACTTATATTTGCAGGATAGTAATAAAATGCTAATTTAATGTCCATATCATGAAAATCTTGGTTGTTAATCTGGAAAGTATGTATATGTATATATGTTTTATATATATATATATATAAAAACAGGAAGGAACTTTTCATGATGACTGTAGTTGCCACCATTTTCTCTCTTTGTATCTGTCAATTGCATAAGCAGCCATAGTCCTCTATCCATAAAAATGCATGGCAGGGAAAAACAGGAGAACCCTCCTGCAGGTAGTTCTCCTGCTGTCTGTCACTCAATAGAGCATGTCTAATGCTTGCTAGAGGAGTATGAATGAGTCGGGGTGTCAGTCATAGTTGTGGTGCTCCTTGCTTGGGAAAGAAGTGTTTCCAAGCTGGAACTATTGCATAAGAAGGAAGACAGGCGGTGGGCGTTATATTAATTTCGGGGGAGGATGAATCCCCATCAGACTGTCTAGTGGAAGAGATGAAAGATTTAAGATCACTCACAAGTCATGACCGTGTACTTTTTAAAATATATTTTGTTGTTCTTATCTTTCTTAAAGGAACATTCCAAGCATCATAAATATCACAGCTCATTATGGTACCAGGAGTGCCCTTATGCTGTAAGAGTATAATTGGTTAAACAACTTTTCTTGATCTCATTAAGCAACCTGGGCCATATTCTGGATTCTCCTTTCAGTAGTTTCTGGTTAGTTCTGGGCTATGCATGGCAGCAGACATTGGCTGAGAGCATCAGTTGAGTGCTTGAAGACAAAGAGTGCAGTCTTGTGTTGGCCATGCAGGCTGGACAGAGAGACATATGTCTTCTTTTGCAGAAGACCAGATTCAGCACAGGAGGAGATAGAGAGCTGTAGTGGATAGGAAATATATCCTTAACACCTTTCCTTCTAAAGCAATTAATGTTGTAATTTAACTGTATGATAAATTATATATTTATTGCTTGAGAAGATGTAATGAGGAGAATGGTTGATTTCTCCTTGAAAGGAAGCTTGGGAACTGCAGCCATCATGAAGCTCTGAAACACTGTCATGTACAAAGTAACACTTGTTTCATTATGACCTATTGCTATGGAAATGTTCTTTACATCTTCGCTTAGTAAATGAATATATAATTGCCCGATTGACAGCATAAAGAGTTTGGACATGGTCATTAAATTAAGCAATGGCACTGTCCTTTTAATGAAATAAAACATACTATTGTACAACCTGATTAAAGAGATATTGTATGCACTATAACCACCACAGCAAGCTTTAGTGGTTATGGTGGCAGAAGTTACCTAGTGTAGTCCCATGGTAAGCAGTCAAACTGTTAGATACTTGAGACTTCTGGGTGTCTCCTGTCCAGCCCAGCTATCTGATACTTCTGCAGTAGTGGTATCAATGCTGCTTGTTTGATGGAATTAATTCGATAAGCGCATCAGCATCATCCCCATCATTATGGAAACTGTAGTGTTTCATATTTTCTGTGCTCCCAGAGCAGCAATTCATTATGAATCACTTTAAGCCATAATGGAAGGATAGCGCAGTATTAATAATCTGTGTTAAATATTTGTGTTCAAAATTATATTAGAAATGATACACAGTTGCAATAATTTATAACAGTAGATGAACCCATGTTTAAAGAGAACATGCCTTCTTACACTGTATTGGGTACTTTTCTATGTTATATTTAATTGAGCTGGCAGTAAAGAGAAAAGGCTTTTGTAAGAGTTTTTTTAAAGTTAATTATCCTTCCATTATGGCTATAATTGTGCTTAAATAATGATATAGAGATATATAGATATATATATATATATATATATATATAGTAGACATGTCATGGTCAAAGAAGGATTTGCCTTCCTGTCCTTGTTGGAAATTTTAAAGTGGGTCCTGACGCAATCTTAATTTCCATCTTGAATTTGATTTTAGTTCTTACTCGTGGAACCCCAAGGCTTGATAAAGCCAGGAAACCATGGCTATTCTAAACATATGACTCCTAGAAGTCCTACAACACAATATCTGAGTCTTTCAACACAATATCTATGAGTAAAAGTGAAAAACATGATCTTGAATCTGTTTGACTAAACTCGAAATAGGTACAACTGCTAAGGTCAATTCTTCACACTGCATTTACCAGAGCAAAACTGTTGTGCCGAGAATCGATAGCAAGTTTTGCTTCTGCTATGCCATTCAGTATGAACAAATAAAGGAAAAAGTTTTCTACATAAACCAGCTTTGAAATTTCAAAAAAGTTCCATTATTGCTTGATCAGGATATTCAGCAGGGACACAGCATGGAGAGTAGCACAGATAGATGACACCGACTCATTTCGCGCCTTAGCGGCACTTCATCACTTCTGTATTTGTTGATGCTGACTACTAAATTATGCAAACATTTCTCAGTCCCTGAAGTACATAATACCGCTATTGCTTTTTTGGTCTAATTGTTATTGTGGGTTTTCTATATTTTATAAAATTTATTTCTAAGATAAAAGCTTTTTCTTTGCAAATAACATGGTTTAAGGGAAATATATAGTGATAAAATCTCCCACAACATTGAAAGGGTTAAAAAAAACCTCTTCTAGTACTAACCCAAAGTCTGCTCTTCCTCCCTTGAAGTTGCCACCTAATGCACATGCGCCGCAAGCGTTCCCATCCCATTAAGACTACCCTTAAGAAAAATGCTTTACTATGGGGTTTTCAGCTGACGTTGGATGTCTTCATTCAGAGTGTGAGGACGTCCAGCATCACCAGTGTTCCCCAACCCAGTCCTCATTGACCACCAACAGTCCAGGATTTATGTGTGTCCCTGTTTTATTCCAATGGAGATACGTACAAAACCTGTACTCTTGGGGGACCATGAGTGGGCAACACTGAGTTAGATGACCAAAAGCCAACTAACCACTCAGAAGCACCTGGTACACAGCCACTAGAGGTGGAGTTAACCCTGCAACGCAGTTTATCATTAGCTGCAATAATTGCAATTGCTGGGTTAAACTGACAGTTGCACTGCAAACAGATTACTTCAATAAACTGAAATGGTCTGGGTGCCTTTAGTGTCTAAGTTTAAGTGATTTGTAAAGCTGTTCCCAAAGGGGAGAAACCTGTAGTTTAGCTATAAGTGTTACAAACATCAAGCTAAACTTAGCAAACTTGAGCATTGTGTCAAACCTCTATGAGACAAGGTACATTTTATTAATATTTAAGTTACTGCACAATTGTGCATTTGGTAGCTTATTGAGTAGTACAATATGAAGATGAAGTTATAACGAGATCAGAATGGGACTCTGCCATAATTTATAGAATTATCCCCAATTAAGATCCTCTGGTATTAAGAGTTATGGTAGTTTTTTTTTTTTATTGTGATCAGATGTCAACTCTTAAACTATAGCTAAGCTGCAAACATGTTTAACAGGAAGATGTATGTATTTGGTTTTGTGTAGAAAAAATACACATACTGCATATAAAGTCTTTACCAGTATATGTCTGTGCCTGTATACATATGTATACCTGCAAAGTCTTTAACATGCTTCAGATTAGAGGATCTCTCCAAGCACCATAACCACTATATAATAATCTAGTGGTTATGGTGCCAGGAGTGTAAGGAGTTAATCATTTTTTAATGGGTTGATTTCCTTCCTAGGGTCCACAGTGTCACTTCTCGTCTCCACTACTAATGCTGGATAACCAAAAGTTCCTAAGCAGGAGCTTCCGTTAGTTTTTCTGAGTTAAATTCTGCACTTTCTTTTTCTTTCAATAATTTATTTTTGTAGTGCAGTGGCATATACATAGCTTTGTAATGACCTTTAACATTACCCGTGTCTGTGTAGATATAACTTGTCAAGATGAGCTGCACAATTTTAAGATATCAAAATTAAAGCAAAATACACACAAGAGAAAGCATAATAAGCATGCATTGATAACACTTCAAAACCGATACACTGGCAGTAATAAATGCAAGATTGGCAATAAAAGATGGTGTTGTTTCTGCAGGGTGACTTAGTTGGGTAGATTAAAAAGAAATTATAAAATAAAGCAGGCTTGTGTATGAGAATACTGCGATCATTACTGGAATACTGCCAGAGGATAGAGGCATGCAGAATAGATTAGTAGGGGGCATTGCATTACTAAGTGACTATTGGGACCCATTGAGAAATTGAGTGAGTCATGAATATAGAGAGACCACCAAGATCAATTCTGCCCTCTGTTGCATTCAGCTGACACCCTGTGCTGGTAAGGCAGGGACCCCCAAAGGAGATTGAGGCTGAAGATCTCGATCCGGTAAGCCTTCTAGCTACACACCACATTGCGGCTCCAACTGACATATTCTCACAGCGGAGAGCATACTTTGAAACATAGAATGTGACGGCAGATAAGAACCATTCGGCCCATCTCGTCTGCCCAATTTTCTAAATACTTTCAATAGTCCCTAGCCTTATCTTATAGTTAGGATAGCCTTATGCCCATTCCACGCATGCTTAAACTCCTTTACTGTGTTAACCTCTACCACTTCAGCTGGAAGGCTATTCCATGCATCCACTACCCTCTCAGTAAAGTAATACTTCCTGGTATTATTTTTAAACATTTGCCCCTCTAATTTAAGACTATGTCCTCTTGATGTGGAAGTTTTTCTTCTTTTAAATATGGTCTCCTCCTTTACTGTGTTGATTCCCTTTATGTATTTAAATGTTTCTATCATATCCCCCCTATCTCTTCTTTCCTCCAAGCTATACATGTTAAGAGTCTCTAACCTTTCCTGGTAAGTTTTATCCTGCAATCTATGAACCAGTTTAGTAGCCCTTCTCTGAACTCTCTCTAAAGTATCAATATTCTTCTGAAGATACGGTCTCCAGTACTGCATACAATACTCCAAGTGAGGTCTCACCAGTGTTCTGTACAATGGCATGAGCACTTCCCTCTTTCTACTGCAAATAGCTCTCCCTATACAACCAAGCATTCTTCTAGCATTTCTCGCTGCTCTATTACATTGTCTGCCTACCTTTAAGTCATCAGAAATAATCACCCCTAAATTCCTTTCCTCAGATGTTGAGGTTAGAACTCTATCAAATATTCTGTACTCTGCCCTTGGGTTTTTACATCCAAGATGCATTATTTTGCACTTATCCACATTAAATGTCAGTTGCCACAACTCTGACCATTTTTCTAGTTTACCTAAATCATTTGCCATTTGAGACTGCACATTATGTGTGCTGGTGCGGTAACTCTTCTGGCGTCGCAGACAAGATTGTCGGTTCTGAGGGGTCCTCGTTAACTGGGTAGGAGTGTCAGGGGTTGGTTGCTTAGGCCTTCAACACATTATCGAGCCCTCTTCAAGTTTGGGAAACATTTCCTCCAGGAAGACTCGATCTTCTTGAGACCGCTGATGTAGGTCTGCTGGTAGCTGATTGCTTGCCGGGTTTTGTATTCTGTTGGCCAGGAAGGCATGAAATAGGTTATCGAGCTTGGTCAGAATAAGGGGCTGCGGGCCCAATTGACACCTGGTATCCGCCATCTTGGGTAGATCAACTCGTCCTAATATGCGTCCAATAAAGCCACAGCGGGGCCAAAGGCAGATGGGTGCCAGGGTAACCCTCACTGGGAGGGGTGGTGGGGGCTCAACTGCCGAGATTACGCTCCCCGGTATGGCAGAGATGAAGGGATCGGTTGCCTCCCATCACCTCCATCACCAGGTAGGCCGCAGGCAGGTCCGCTGTGGGCATCCCTGCAACTAAACAGGAGAGCAATGCTGCTCCCACAAGCAATGAGGAACCTGTGTCAACGTCAGGCTTAAAACTTGTGAGCCTTGAGTCCACAAAGCGGGTCTTATACAGGCTGGCATATTCTTTCAAAACTGATTCTTATTTACTTAATTCAATTTAAACATATATTTACATAAGATAATCGAACAAACATTTAACAAAGCTGTTGTAAAATTAGAGATCATTATACTAGCAGATCTATATTCTTTTCAGAGTGAAGGTGGCAATCTTGGCACCATTTAGACCATGGATAGTCAACCTGGTCCCTGGAGGTTTGGGATTTCAGGTGGGCGCTGGTGGGTTCTTCAGAAAACGCCCGGTGGGCCTTGATGGCCATGGACCAAGGCCGGCAGGGGAGATCATTTCATCTCCCCAGCCAGCTCATGCAGAGCCAACCTTGCTGTAAATCCTCTCGGGCTGTTGAGGAGACCAAAGATCTCCCTCAATGGCATGCTGGCACTTAAGTTCCAGCAGAGAGAGGGAAGGACCTGGGAGGTTCTGTGTTCCTCCCGCGAGCAGGCTCCTCGGAGCATTGCTGCGCATTACCATGGTAACACTCCAATACATTGCTCGCAGGAGGACATTAGAGTCAACCTGCAGCCGGAGGAGCTGCAGGCTAAAGTGAACATGCCACCATTGGACCACCAGGGCTTGCAGCAGTATCTCCACCCTCCCTGGTAATAGGTAAGAAGAAGGGAGAGGGAGACTTTAAGATAGATTTTTCACACTTCACCCACCTACACACAGCATAGACCCAATGCACCCCTCACAGAGACTGCCCACTCACACAATATCTCTCACACACACAGCCCCTCCTCACACAAACACACTGCACCTCTCGCACACACTACACTATATATATATATATATATATATATATATATATATACATATACACACACACTGCACCCTTTACACACATACAGCACCCTTCACACACACTGCATCTCTCACACACACACATACAGCACCCTTCACACACACATAGCACCTCACAGATAAACATAGAAAAAAGTAGAATAGAAAATATTTTATCATTTTAAGTACATTTTATTTTTAATTTTTTTTAAACCTCCTTTCTAAGGAAAAGAAGAAAAAAAAATCACACTTGCACTATAAAATTAGTTACTGTGGCACTGGTGGGCGGTAAGGAAATGTTACCATCTATAAAGATACAAAAGTGGGCGGTAGGTATTAAAAGGTTAACTACCCCTGATTTAGACTGTGTTCATTTATGCAGTTAGCAACCCTCTACTAATTACTATTGTAGGCTGTCCTTTACATAGTATAATGTTCAACCTCAACGAAATTAATTTAATAAGCACAGAGAGGATTTAAGTACTTATGTTTGGGGTTGGGTGGAAATTTTCAAATTGAAAACAAAAAGTTAGGGCAGACTGCATTGAAAGTTTAAAAAAAAAAAAAAAAGGTTACCATAAACCTCTTTAGTTATATATATATATATATATATGAAATTGTTTATAACTTTTCCACCTGACATATTTTGTCCTTACTTGAATATAGGACTCACTCATAGACATATACAGAAACTACTCTAACCACTTCTAAAAACCATGGCCAATTAGATATCTACCTCCACATTAACAAACACAATTTGACTTTGGAAAAAGAAAATGAAAATACAAAAGGAATACATACCACAAAATAATTTAAAAAAAACAAGCATAACAAAAGTATACATCCCAATTGTGATCAACTCACATGTACACTTTGCAACAAATATTACAAGGAAATATAGAGAATAAAATATGTTTAAAGACAAGTGGAAAAGAAGTCTATAATCAATTCTATAGCTCCATCTACTCAAAAATATATGTCCAACTATTCATCTCTGATGAACAGGATAAAGATCCAATACACATCCCTTCTACAGATGGCATTGATGCTCTCAATGGGTAGGAAAGTGAGTCAGCTGGAATCTGTTCAGACTGTTTCCTCAGTCCAGAGAGGGAAACATTAAAACCTGTTTAACACTAAATGGAAGTACTGCAAGCACTATAACTACTTCAATGTGATGAAGCAGTTATGGTGTCCCATTAACCAATTTCACTTTTTAAGACATTTACATTTATAACTTTCAGATATTCTACATAGCCTTAGTATGCAAATATATTACGCTCAGCAGGATACTTTCCTCAAAGATTCAACTTTGTGTTCTGACTTCACTAAGCAGAAATAAAAGTTGGAGCTGTATTTTATATCAGTTTTATATCATTTGAACATGAATAAACTACTTTTTGAATAGAAACATTTAAGAGGATCATATAGAATGAGACCTAACAAGCTCCTGCTCTGTGTCTGTGTTCAATCAGCCCTAAGGCTGTTTAAAAAATTGCCATAATGATGTGCAAAAAATAAAAAACTTTTCTTGTCCATTGTCTACAGAAAAGATTTTCAGGTCTCTTCCATACCATGTTAATGTGCATAACTTAACAAATTCCAATAAAGGAACACTCCAGGTCCCATAAAAATTGAAGTTAGGTGCTCTCCAGTGCCAGATCTCCTTTTCTCCAGTGGAATCCAGCTTCTTCAGTTGAGTTTCAGGAAGGGCTGGGGCACCTTCTTCTTCAGTTGAATTAAGCTGTCATGGACACCGCAGAGAGGCCAAAAGATGCTCTAAGCCAGTTAGTTGCTCCCCTGTTGATCACCCATCAACAGCTCTGTTCCATGAGTGCTTCAGCTTTCATTGGCTACTGTACAGGGCAGCCTGAACCATACTGCTTGTGAGTCTGTCAACAGTAGGGATCGACCAATTATCGATCTGGCCGATGTTCAGCATTATGGCAAATACTGGTATCAGCCTATAATGCCTATAACCGATATCATCAGTAATGCGAGCGGCAGAGGCCCAGTGCATGCTATCTTCAGCTCTGTGACAATTCTCACAAGACCTCGGCCTTGGGTTACCATGACACCGCTTTGCGTGGCATACCAGGCTCGGGAGAGTTGGAGAGGCGACTTGTCGGAAACAGAATATAGTGTGTGCTGGGTCCCAGCCAACCCCTCTTCAGTGTGCAAGCTCCTGGCTATCTGCACAAAGCCTTTGGTCCCCCAGAGAGTGTAATAACCACCTCCCTGGCCAGAAGTAAGAGAGCTTGGGGGCAAAAATATCGGTACCAGTTAGCGCAAAAGGACACTGATAGTCTGTATCAGATACAATATAATTCACAGCCATGCCTACATGCCACTCCACTGCACTGCTCTTATGATCTCAAACCTGCTAAATTATGCATGTCTGTAAGAGACAGGAATGTAAATGCAGCAAAAACAGAGATAAAGAATGCAGTAATAGAGAAAAAGAAGACAAGAATAGGATCACTACAAGTAATGTGACTGTTACGGGTTGGAAGAGCTGACAGTAGAAGGAAGAGGCTGACTAAACAAAATGAGGGAAAGAGGAGGAGGGAAATGGAAGTGGATAGTAATTTGTCACGTATAGGAAGTGGGGAAACTTCATCAGAGAGGGAGCACAGTCACATACAAAGGCCCCCCAAACATGTATTTCACTGCATTCAAATGCAGTGTTACCCCATGCTACGGACAAAAAAAAAGGCATGAAAACCAAAATTCTTCAGGGCAAGCAAGTTTTAGGTCTCTTGTTAAGACTGAATATTGAGCTGAAGACTGAAAGTTGCGCATCATGTTAAAGTTAACACCTTTGCTATTCTGAACAATAATGCAGTGTTGTGTAGCAAGATAATAAATGCATTTTGGGGAATTCTAAACAGATTTTGTTTGATTGAATGATATTGCGATCTTAAAGCCTGACAAGTTGATGTATTTGTTATTTTTCTGTACCCCTCTTTTACATTGGAGACTGACAGGTTTTTGTTTTATATTTTTCATGTTTATTGAAATTTTGCAAACACTGCAATATGTCAAGTAAAACGTTCCATTACAGAGGCTGGATTGCAATCGACCACTGAGCTTGTTACAAGAAAGAGTTTACATAGAGAAAAAGTGTTCCAAATATGACATTTACAGCGTATAACCTAGTGGAATGAAGACAATCGTTATCAATACTAAATCAATGACAGAATACATAATAAATGAAAGTTATGGAAAATGGACATGAACATACATTCAGATGTTCTTTGAGGTGTTTGAGATGTTCTATTAGATTAAAACTCTTTCTAGAACATATCTCCAGTTCAGTAGTTAAAAGGAACCCATAGTGAATACAAACACGTGTCCCCAGCCCTCTTCTCTGTGGAGTAAAAAGGTTATTTTATTTTCCTTTTCTCACAGCCATACCGGTCTCACTGCGACTGATCCCGCCTCCATGGCTGAGATCATCAATCTTGACAATCTCAGCCAATGGAAAGTATTTGGAGGTTATTGCATATTCAAGGCAAAACACCACACTGCGCCAATCAAAATTTCATCATAGAGATAATTGAATCAATGCATCTCCATGGGGAACGTTCAGCGCACTGAATGTTGGTGCTGCCACTAGAGGTGTTACTAGGCAGCAGTATAAAACTGCCTTTTCTATGAAAGCCTGCAGGGATATCAGAACCACTACATTAAGTTGTAACATACCTGATCACAGATTGGAACTGTATGTGAACTGAGCAGCATAGAACAGAAAGAACAACAACAAAAAGAGAGAGGAAGAAAACAACCAAAATAAGACCAAAGAAGGGCTAGAGGTCCCCTGTCAATCCTCAAAATTAGGCAGTGATTCCATCCGGCGTCCCTTCACTATACGCTATGGACATAAGTATTGGGACACACCTCTTAATTATTGAATTCAGGTATTTCAATCAGACCCATTGCCACACGTGTATAGAATGAAGCACCTAGCCACACAGTGTACTTTGAAACATTTGTGGGGATAAAATGGTTAGTTCTAAAGAGCTCATATAATTCAAGCTTGGTATTGTGATAGGATACAACCTTTGCAATAAGTTAGTTCATGAAATTTCATTCCTAGATATGCCATGGCCAACTGTAAGTGGCATTTTTGGAAAGTGTTTAGGAATAGCAGCAACTTAGCCATGAAGCAGAAGACTAAAGTCACAGAGCAGGGTCACTGAGTGTTGAGGCATATGATGCATAAAGGTTGCCAACGCTCTGCTAATTCCATAGCTAATGACTTCCATACTTTCACTGGAATCAATATCAGCACTAAAACTGTGCAGCAGGAGCTTCATGGAATGGGTATTCATGACCAAGCAGCCACAGATCACCAAATACAGTCTCAAGAATTGGATCGAGTGGTTTAAAGCACGCCGCCATTGAACTCCGGAGTGGCATCTGTTTGGCATTCTGATTGTCAAGTCTGAGTTTGGCGAATGCAAGGAGAACATACCTGCTTGACTGCATTGTGCCAACAGTAAAGTTTGGTGGAGAAGGGATAATGGTATGGGGCTGCTTTACAAGGGTTGGGCCAGGGAATGGAAGTCTTAATGCTTCAGCATACCAAGATATTTTGGACAATGCTGTGCTTCCAACTTTGTGGGAACAGTTTTGGGAAAGGCTCTTTTCTATTCCTACATTACTGGATGAGTTTGGTGGCCCACACAGAGCCCTGCCCCGTACCGAACACCTTTGGGATGAACTGGAATGGTGATTGTGAGCCAGGACTTCTCATCCAACATTAATGCCTGACCTCACAAATGTTCTGCTGGATGAGTGGGAAAAAATACACACAGAAACATGCCAAAATCTTGTGGAAAGCTGTCCCAGAAGAATTGATGCTATCAGTAGTGCAAAGGGGTGGGGGACTACATATTAATGTCAAAGTATATAAAAAGGGATGTCATAAAAGTCCCTGTTGGTGTAATGCACAGGTGTCCCAATACTTTTGTCCATATATTGTATGTCTGCCGGAGTATAGTTTGAACCTGGTGTTTAGTAGTAGGGTTAGTCGATTTCCAGCACAGCGTAGGATCTGGCTGTCCACATAATATGTATGAACAATTTTAACTGGGTGCCCTGATTATCACAGAGACACATGATAAGGAGAATAACCTTTGGTACAAATGACAGTGATACTGTTGTACATAGTTGAATAAGGTGAATATGCTTCCAAAACTGCTGTATCGGACTGTAGGAGCAGAAACAGTGTAATAGTGTTTCCTTGTCTCACATCTCCAGCAAAGAGACGACATAATAGGACAGTCATGGACTATCCTTTAGGGAGCTGAAGGAACTCTCAGGGTCCCCCTTCCGCCGGGCTCTGGGGAGAGGAAGGGGTTAAAATCGTACCTCCTCCATAGCGACGTCATCGGCTGAATGCGCATGCGCGGCAGGATCCGCGCACGCATTCAGCCAGTTCATAGGAAAGCATTTAAAATGCTTGCCTATGGACGCTGGCATCTTCTCACTGTGATTTTCACAGTGAGAAGCACACAAGCGCCTCTAGCGGCTGTCAAGAGACAGCCACTAGAGGCTGGATTAACCATATTATAAACATAGTAGTTTCTCTGAAACTGCTATGTTTATATAAAAAAAAAAAAGGGTTAATCCTAGATGGACCTGGCACCCAGACCACTTCATTAAGCTGAAGTGGTCTGGGTGCCTATAGTGGTCCTTTAATACTATTTCTATAGTAAAGTAATAGTAGTGCCACCCATGTAAGAATTCTGTTTTTTGGTTTTTTTTTAAACAGGGCTTGACAAATCTTGGTATCTAGGAGCCAGTTTTTTGTTTGGAATCTAGGGGCTAGTTTTTTGTTTGTTTTTTTGAAACTAACAACGCTTTGTTTCCAGCGACAAAAATAAAAATCTTAACAGGATACTATAGTCACCAGATCCACTAAAGCTCAATGTAGTTGTTCTGGTGTCTACAGTCTGTCCCTTCAGAGAAAGTGCAGTGTTTATATTGCTGCCTAGTAACACTTCTAGTGACCGTCACTCAGACGGCCACTAGAGGTGCATGTAAGTCTAGTGCAGCACAGTGTGCAGCACCTACATTCAGTGTCTCCCCGCTCTGCATAGAGGTGCTGAATGTTCCCCATAGAAATTCTGATTGGCGCAGCTTGGTGTTTTGCAGTGCATTTGCAATAGTCTCCCAATACTTTCCTATCTGAAAACATTGGATTGGATGTTCCCCATGTAGACTTCTAGCCGTGTCGAATGGCACCATGTGGGGGGGGGAGGGGGCAGGTGAGTAAGAAAACCTGACTTAACAGACACACACACATATTCACTGGCAGACACCCTCACATTTCCTCACACACTCAAATTATTATATTTGTTTATCTTAATTTACGTTTGCGAAAGCTGGAGTGGATCATTTCTCTAGGGTCCAGTGGGGCTGCTGTGATCATCTTTCTGCTTTTCTTGCTCTCCTTCCGTCAAGCGCTGTTTAGTGATGCGGGGCCGGAGTGACGTCATAATCCAGCTCTCTGCATTACTGCAGGACGTGCAAGGGAGCAGAGCAAGGAGAGCAGGAAGATTTCTGCTCCCTTGCTGCCCGCTTCCACTCTCCCTGAGCTATCCACCTGCCTTCATCCTCCCTGGGTTGGCTGCATTCTCCCTTAGTCGCCCATTTCGTAGGGAACTGGCTCACGCCATGCTAACCTGGCGTCTGGTATTTGTCAAGCCCTGTTTAAAACCATATGGAATAAAGGAAAATAGATGTTTGAAGTCCCCTTGCAGCAGTCTGCTCAACTTCTGTTTGCTTCATAATCTAATGACTTTGGCCAAAACTTCCCATAGAAAATAATTTTGGATTGATGGATGGCACTCACTGCAATCAACCATTTAAATTATTCTCATAGAGAATCATTGAACCGAATGATTCTCTATGAGGAGTTGCAAATGACTGATCAGCTTACTGCTCTTATAAATTCATCTTACATGCGTTTGTTCCTGACGAGCACACAGCCAATTCCGTCATCATCAGCACGGTAGGCGTGCTAATGTCACAGTATGATTGGTGATGCCAGCCCAGGACTTTAAGTGAAGGCTCACTGAATCAGAAGGCGTGGAGGCATGGCTAGTAGCCACACTTTTAAACACACTAACATAATGAAAAACTAAATGTAAAGGAAATTAAAATTGTTTTTGGCCCTATAGATCAGGCTTCCCCAAACTCCGGCCCTCCAGATGTTGCTGAACTACAACTCCCTTGATTCTATGAATTCATTAGATAGGCTGAGAATCATTGGAGTTGTAGTTAAGCAACATCCGGAGGGCTGGATTTTGGGGAAGCCTGCCCTAGATAGTAAGTTCGTTGGAGCAGGGTCCTCATCAACCTACTGTTCCTGTAACATTTTGTAATTGTCTTTTTTATTGTTAAATTAAGTTGGCACTATTCAAACGCCAATAATAATTATACTATAAAAAATTTAACAGGATGACTACAGTTTTCTTTAAATACCATCTCAAAGATCATTACAATGGATCTACCAGTGATTCAGGCACCCGGAGGAGCCCTTCATTTGGGCAGATGTTTTCTGGAATTCTTCCACAGGGAAAAAAATTATTTGTCAGTTTCAAATTATTCAAGGAAGTTTTTTTGTTGTTTTGTTTTGATGGAGACACATGTAAAGTATAGCGGAGAGAAAGCAATTTCTCCAGGATCTTTAAGAGCAAAGCAGAATTCCCACATTTTGTAAGGATAGACTGGTCGTAGGTATCTGCAATTGGAGATGTCACGATGAGTTCTACTCTGAAATAAGTAAAGATTTTCAAAGTTGACAACCCAAACTCTTCAGTAAGGGATGGGAACAATTTGACTCCTAAGGTCGATAAAAGTTGAGAAACCTTCTCAAAACCCAATTTACACCAAACTTTAAGATGCAGATAAGTTGTGAACAATTGCAGTACATTAAGGGGGAGCAAAAATTACAGGCTGCACTGGGAAAAGTAATGAGTATGGTTGTGAATAGTCATTTTCCAGCCACGACCACAGTGGAAGATTTGGTAAAAATCAGAATTACAGCCATGTGAGACTACAAAATAGGATTTTAAGTTAGGTTCTTCCACACTGTAGGTGCTCTCAGGGTAGCTGCAGCTATGCAAGCTGGTCTTCTCTTCCAAATGTGGGCATTGAGGAGCAATTGGAATAATTGTATTAAAGTCAAAGGCACTGCTATAGGCAGTGTCCAAAATAAATTTTGTATTGATGGTGTTTATACTCTCCAACTGAGACAATTCAAGGTGTGTCTGCTGGTGTAAGATCATTCTCGTTTCGTTCAAAAGTCTGGTGTAATTCTCTTGAAATAACTGATTGCGGTAGTTGTTACCTGAATGCCCAAGTATTTAATATAGTCCTCCCTCTAGTTGAAAAACAACCTCTACCGAATAGATATGACTTGTATATATCACTAATAGCATAGACTATGGTTTTTTCACAATATTTTTATAATGGGAAACTAAACTACAGGGAGTGCAGAATTATTAGGCAAATGAGTATTTTGACCACATCATCCTCTTTATGCATGTTGTCTTACTCCAAGCTGTATAGGCTTGAAAGCCTACTACCAATTAAGCATATTAGGTGATGTGCATCTCTGTAATGAGAAGGGGTGTGGTCTAATGACATCAACACCCTATATCAGGTGTGCATAATTATTAGGCAACTTCCTTTCCTTTGGCAAAATGGGTCAAAAGAAGGACTTGACAGGCTCAGAAAAGTCAAAAATAGTGAGATATCTTGCAGAGGGATGCAGCACTCTTAAAATTGCAAAGCTTCTGAAGCGTGATCATCGAACAATCAAGCGTTTCATTCAAAATAGTCAACAGGGTCGCAAGAAGCGTGTGGAAAAACCAAGGCGCAAAATAACTGCCCATGAACTGAGAAAAGTCAAGCGTGCAGCTGCCACGATGCCACTTGCCACCAGTTTGGCCATATTTCAGAGCTGCAACATCACTGGAGTGCCCAAAAGCACAAGGTGTGCAATACTCAGAGACATGGCCAAGGTAAGAAAGGCTGAAAGACGACCACCACTGAACAAGACACACAAGCTGAAACGTCAAGACTGGGCCAAGAAATATCTCAAGACTGATTTTTCTAAGGTTTTATGGACTGATGAAATGAGAGTGAGTCTTGATGGGCCAGATGGATGGGCCCGTGGCTGGATTGGTAAAGGGCAGAGAGCTCCAGTCCGACTCAGACGCCAGCAAGGTGGAGGTGGAGTACTGGTTTGGGCTGGTATCATCAAAGATGAGCTTGTGGGGCCTTTTCGGGTTGAGGATGGAGTCAAGCTCAACTCCCAGTCCTACTGCCAGTTCCTGGAAGACACCTTCTTCAAGCAGTGGTACAGGAAGAAGTCTGCATCCTTCAAGAAAAACATGATTTTCATGCAGGACAATGCTCCATCACACGCGTCCAAGTACTCCACAGCGTGGCTGGCAAGAAAGGGTATAAAAGAAGAAAATCTAATGACATGGCCTCCTTGTTCACCTGATCTGAACCTGTGGTCCATCATCAAATGTGAGATTTACAAGGAGGGAAAACAGTACACCTCTCTGAACAGTGTCTGGGAGGCTGTGGTTGCTGCTGCACGCAATGTTGATGGTGAACAGATCAAAACACTGACAGAATCCATGGATGGCAGGCTTTTGAGTGTCCTTGCAAAGAAAGGTGGCTATATTGGTCACTGATTTGTTTTTGTTTTGTTTTTGAATGTCAGAAATGTATATTTGTGAATGTTGAGATGTTATATTGGTTTCACTGGTAATAATAAATAATTGAAATGGGTATATATTTGTTTTTTGTTAAGTTGCCTAATAATTATGCACAGTAATAGTCACCTGCACACACAGATATCCCCCTAACATAGCTATAACTAAAAACAAACTAAAAACTACTTCCAAAAATATTCAGCTTTGATATTAATGAGTTTTTTGGGTTCATTGAGAACATGGTTGTTGTTCAATAATAAAATTAATCCTCAAAAATACAACTTGCCTAATAATTCTGCACTCCCTGTATAGGATTCCAGTGTATATATTAAAGGAACACTATAGTGACCCAGACCACTTCATCTCACTGTAGTGGTCTGGGTGCAGTGTTCCTGTCCTTTTAACACTGTAATGTAAAAGAAACTGCAGTGTTTACATTGTAGAGCTAAGTCCACCTAATTTGGCCAAGTGTCACAGAAGCCCCCATAGCAACTCATTGATTCAATGTTTTCCAATGTAGAAGCTTGAGTTTGTGCACGGCACTTGCCATGCATTAGGTCACCAATGTTCCTCTATAAGGAACACTAAATTGGGCCATCGCAAAGAAGCCATGCCTCCTCTGTGATGGTGCTGGAGACGGAGGAAAAAAGTAAGTTAAACTTTTGAGTTTTATAATTTGTATTGCAAACTTGGGAGACCTGTGTAGAGCTAGCATTATAGCTAGGGGCACTATAGCATTAGATATGCAGGTTTAGGTGTATAGTGATGAAGTAGTGTTTGTGAGAAATGCTAAATCCATATAGTGCAATCGAATGCTTGTATGTTTGTGCTATGGTTCCTGTAATGACATGGTCTTGTTATATAAGGTGGACTAAAGGCTCCTGTATTAAAATAAAGAACAATGGAGCAACCCTTGTGGGTGTCATTTGTAATGTTAAATGCAGAGGATAGAACTCCGGAGTTAAGGTTTCAGGCTGAAGGTAGCAAAAAGAGGACCATAACTGATTTCAGAAAAATTCAAGAAAGCCATATCTGCAAAGTGTGGAGAGAAAAAAGGCGGTCTAGTGCTTTTTTTTTTTTAATTCTTTATTTTTGCAAACAATATAACATATTTCGTAGTACATACATTTACCACCTAGCTAAGCCTACTCAGTTTTTATTAGTAAAGGCAAATTCACCCAGGCTTCCCTATCAGTGGTCCTTGGGTTTGTGACTGGGGGTGGAGGGGGCGTTGGTGTTGGGCTATATGTGCCTATTTGGCCAATATGTGTTGCGCCCTGATACAGAAGCCTTTGTAAGGCACGTAGTTAGGGTATAAGTGGGCATAGGACCTCTCGAAGCCGAGTATGAGTTTCCTCTTTGTTGCGCTGGGGCAGGAGGTTGGGGTCACGTTCTAGGTACTCAGAAGACTGTTGTTTTTGCACAGAAGTGTCGCTTGCGAACTCTGTGCTGGTATGGTGGGGAGGGAGTGGGGGCATGGATGCTTTGATTCAGAGCTATATCTAAGAGCCAGCAACATAATAACAGAGGCAAAATATATAAACGTTATCAACATCTAAGACGGTATCGTGCACAGGGTAGTGCACAAGTAAGTTCAGTCCCAAAGTTCAGGGTGGTAGTGCCGTTGTCGTGGGTGCTCCCCCTCTGGGCACAAATAGGGTGATGTCTGCTACATTCCAGACTGGGTGGTCTGCTGTCTGTGGCTTAGCTGCCGACAGGCCGAGGGCTTGCAGGAAGGTTGATGCTTCAGCAGGGTGCGAGATGGCGTGCATTTTTCCTGCCTTATTGGTTAGTAGTCTGCGGGAGCCCCATTTGTAGGCAATGGAATTCTCTTGAAGAATCTGGGTCTAGAGCAGGCACTGCTTGAGGGGAAAGGCAGGCACATAAGCTCACGTCATATTCCCACCCCACCATATTTCAAGGGCTGCAGCCACAATTTGGAACTGCAATAAAGACACCAATAAGAGTAAAAGAGCAGTGCTAGGTGGAAGTGTGCTACACACATCATGGTAAGAGAAGGGATATCAGCGAACATATACTTAAAATGAACTAGAAAGAGGCAGCAGACACATTATAGCAGAGATGAGCTTAGGGAGGAGAATTCCACATCTCCCTAAATTCCAATGAAGTATTAGCCAACAAAACCAATGTATTCTTATTATGCATCATGGCTATCCCAGATTCAGGCTTGGCATGCCCCTATAGATACAAAAGGATGTGTCGATCTTGAATGTCTCCAAACCTAAAGGGGCACAATAAAGTGGTCTGGGTGCAGTGGCCCTGTCCTCTTAGGCCTTTAATCTAAAACACTGTCTCCCTGACCACCACTAGAGGTACTTGAGCTGCAACAAGTGTTTCACTCAGTCATGTGACCTTGAACATCATTAAATGCAGCTCATAGGGAAGCATTGAGCTCAATGCTTCCCTATTACAAGCATTTGTTTAGACATGCACACTGCGCTCACCTCTCTGAGGCTCTGAAAGAAGGGACCAAAGCCTAAAAAACTGTATACAAAATACCTGCACATTTTTCAGAATATAAGATGTGCCTATATAGTTAAACTAGAAATTTAGATAAAAGTAATAAAACAACCAATAACATTTTGTAGTCCCCCTTAGTGTATCACATCCACTCTTTAGTGTCTTTTAACCCCTTATATGTCTTTTACGCCCATATTGTCTGAAGATTCCCCCCCTCCTCCAATTTTCCGCTGCATGGAGACACTGAATGTTCCTCATAGAGATGCAATAGCCTCTCATTGCTTTCCTATGGGAAAGCATTGCATTGGCTGAGATCGTCAAATTTGTTGATCTCAGCCATACAGGCAGAGCAAGGTGGGGCCAGCTGCAGCGAGACCAGCACAACACTGGAAAAAGGGTAAGGTAACTTACCTTTTTAATGTAATGAGAGGAGCTGGAGACCTACATTGTTATTTTATCACTATAGTGTCAGGAATACAGTTTGTGTTCCTGACACTATAGTTTTCTGTTAAGCCCATGTTCTACCTAAGTTGAACTTGAGGAAGGTATAATTGTAAGACTGAAACGTCTGCTCCTTGAATGAATAAAACTGCTAAAATAGCAACATTTGAGTGCCCGGACATTTCCTTGCTTCCTTTTAAAGACAGAGTATAGGTACAAAAATAACTTAATTAAGCAGTTTTGGTGTATAGATCATACCCCTACAGTCTTACTGCACAATTATCTGCCATTTAGGAGTTAAATCTCATTGCAATTAACTTATTTTTACATTATCTATCTTTCATAAAACCATTCTGATTTGTGTTAAATAATTAAGTGCTTGTGGTTGAATACCATCTGGCCTTGAGGATTTGTTTACATTAACTTTCTTTTGTTGCTGCGGCACCTTGTCTTGAGTAATCCAATCACAATATTTCTGCCGTTTTTTTTCCAGCAATGATTTACAGATCTCTTGCTGTAGGTTCATCTTTAATATATACTGAAAAGTAATTATTTTAACCCACAAAAATGGTCCTTAAGGACAAATATGAGCGCTGGAAGCAATCGTGATTTTTTTTCAACCGCTCTTTTATTGCAGCGACACCTCGAAGTCCAGGCATCCTGCAATACCTCTCCTGACAGCCGGGCCTCCGAGGGATTGCTGCACCGGAGAGATCACTTCCGGGTTGCCCCATGTGGCGCCCGGCAGTATAGCAGAGTATCGGAAGCCATCAGGCAGGATTCCGATGCTCCTCTGCATGTGTGCTGAGTGCCTTGAGGCACTCAAATAAATAAATAAAATACATAAATATGGTATTTTGGCCCCCAGAGAAATAATTAAATAAATTTTAAAAAGTATTTTAGCCCCCAGAGAACCCGACACACCTGTACATGGTTGGTTTTACTGTATTCAAGAGATGTTGCTGAACACATATTGGGGTGTTCTTTGGCAGTAACACATAACAGGAGCTGCTAATCCATGTCTAAAGTACAATGTTTGTGGAAAAATAACACAAAAAAATGACTTCCCAAAAGTTTGACAAAGACTGGTGGTAGAATTAGTGCATGGAAAGTGTTAAAACACCAACATTTGAAATATCCTAGGGCAGTAATGGCTAACCTTGACACCATAAATTATTATTTCTGGGCTACATTTCTTTTGATGCTCAGCTAACGTTTAGAGTCTAAAAGCTAGCTGAGCATCATGGGAAATGTAGTCCAAAAACAATTTATGGTGTAAAGGTTAGCCATCACTGTCCTAGGGTGTCTACTTTTCAAAAATATATAGTTTAATGGGGGTAAATTACATTGTCAGGCTTCAAAAATGTCCCAAATAGGGCATGGGTGTAGGATGACCAGCTGTGAAAATTCCGAGCCTGGAATGCGCACCCTCCAAATAAGGTCTTTTAGCCCCCAGAGAACCCTACACACCTATACATGGGTAGTATCATTGTACTCAGGAGATGTTGCTGGACACATATTGGGGTGTTCTTTGGCAGTAACCCTTAAAGTTCTCTGTAAATTTATTCTTAAATTGCTATGTGTGTCAAAAGAATCACCAATTATTATTATTATTTTTTCTAAATTTGGCATAGATTGGTGGTAAAATGGTTGCATGAAAAGAGTCAAACTACCCCAAGGACAAAATTTAGAAACTATTTAGTATGGGTACTTTATGTCAGTTGTAGATGCGTAACAGATTTTGGGGGTCAAAGTTAGAAAAGGTGTGGGTTTTTTTGTTTTTTTTTTAATTTCATCATATTTTATAATTTATTTTTTCTATAGTAATTATATGATATGATGAAAATAATGGTATCTTTAAAAAGACCATTTAATGTCAAGAACAACTGTATATAATATGTGTGGTAAATGAGGAAGAGGGGTTAAAATTTAGCTTTTTCCTAATCTTCCTTTTCTAACATCTCTGATTTTAGTCAACCTACGCTTAATTTTTTATTTTTATTTTTAGAATTGATGTACTTAAAAGCTTTATGGGGTTAATCGTGCCCTCTTTGGCTACTTCTTTTTTAATTTTCTTGTTTAGCCTATCTAATAATCTTTTTACAGGCTTTATCAGCTTCTTTTCACAAGATTTACAGAATATAGATAAGCACTACAAAATCCTAAAGCCAATTAACTAAAAAACAGCAAATACTAGGTGTAGGGACACCTCTATGTCCCAACAAAATGAGATAACTCAACAAAGAAAGGTTGTACCAAAACAAATAACTTAAATATAAAAATACAGCAAACAATGAAAGATAAAGTATATATTCCAAATATTCTTATGTGGTTGGGTCCGTCCTCATAAGGTGGATATGAAAGAAAAGTAAAAAAAAAAAAAAAAGAGATACTGAATGTGTAATATGTAATACAGAGTTTGGTAACAAATAACAAAAGTGTGTAGGTGCCCACTCACAGGTTATAGAGCAATCATACATGCTCTGGTAGTGACAGCATGTAGTGGTACAATCCCAACTAATGGATATGCGATATACGTAGATATGGTCTCTCCTGTTAATCACAGTGAAGTATGTTAAGACAAAAATAATATCCAATACTGTAATATTTCCAATATAAAGTGCCAAAAAAAGAGGAAATGCACTCACAAGGGTAGAGCTTTTATTAAAGATCACATTTGCAGGTATAAGTTGGTAATGTTCTCATCTAGGGATATAGCTGGTTCACAACTTATTCTACAGTGTTCACATATATGGAAGAATAGAAATGGTATATAGTGCTCTCAGTATATACAGTTGCAAGAAAACGTATGTGAACCCTTTGGAATGATATGGATTTCTGCACAAATTGGTCATAAAATGTGATCTGATCATCATCTAAGTCATAACAATAGACAATCACAGTCTGCTTAAACTAATAAACAAAGAATGAAATGTTGCCATTTTTTTATTGAACACACCATGTAAACATTCACAGTGCAGGTGGAAAAAGAATGTGAACCCCTAGACTAATGACATCTCCAAGAGGTAATTGGAGTGAAATGTCAGCCAACTGGAGTCCAATCATGAGATAAGATTGGAGGTGTTGGTTACAGCTACCCAGCCCTATAAAAAACACACACCAGTTCTGGGTTTACTTTTCACAAGAAGCATTGCCTGATGTGAATGATGCCTCGCACAAAAGAGCTCTCAGAAGACCTACGATTAAGAATTGTTGACTTGCATAAAGCTGGAAAGGGTTATAAAAGTATCTCCAAAAGCCTTGCTGTTCATCAGTCCACGGTAAGACAAATTGTCTATAAATGGAGAAAGTTCAGCACTGCTGCTACTTTCCCTAGGAGTGGCCATCCTGTGAAGATGACTGCAAGAGCACAGCGCAACTGCTCAATGAGGTGAAGAAGAATCCTAGAGTGTGAGCTAAAGATTTACAAAAGTCACTGGCAAATGCTAACATCCCTGTTAGCGAATCTACAATACGTAAAACATTAAACAAGAATGGATTTCATGGGAGGATACCACAGAGGAAGCCACTGCTGTTCAAACAATACATTGCTGCACGTTTACAGTTTGCACAAGAACACCTGGATGTTCCACAGCAGTACTGGCAAAATATTCTGTGGACAGATGAAACCAAAGTTGAGTTGTTTGGAAGAAACACACAACACTATGTGTGGCGAAAAAAAGGCACAACACACCAACATCAAAACCTCATCCCAACTGTGAAGTATGGTGGTGGGGGCATTATGGTTTGGGGCTGCTTTGCTGCGTCAGGGCCTGGACGGATTGCTATCATCGATGGAAAACTGAATTCCCAAGTTTATCAAGACATTTTGCAGGAGAACTTAAGGCCATCTGTCTACCAGCTGAAGCTCAACTGTAGATGGCTGTTTCAACAGGACAATGACCCAAAGCACAGAAGTAAATCAACAACAGAATGGTTTAAACAGAAGAAAGTACGCCTTCTGAAGTGGCCTCAACCCGATTGAGATGCTGTGGCATGACCTCAAGAAAGCGATTCACACCAGACATCCCAAGAATATTGCTGAACTGAAACAGTTCTGTAAAGAGGAATGGTCAAGAATTACTCCTGACCGTTGTGCACGTCTGATCTGCAACTACAGGAAACGTTTGGTTAAAGTTATTGCTGCCAAAGGAGGTTCAACCAGTTATTAAATCCAAGGGTTCACATACTTTTTCCACCTGCACTGTGAATGTTTACATGGTGTGTTCAATAAAAATATGGCAACATTTCATTATTTGTGTGTTATTAGTTTAAGCAGACTGTGATTGTGTATTGTTGTGACTTAGATGATGATCAGATCACATTTTATGACCAATTTGTGCAGAAATCCATATCATTCCAAACGGTTCACATACTTTTTCTTGCAACTGTATGTACATAGGAAGATAGATGGAAAAGTACGTACATTGTTTGGAGCAGTAAGATTGCTCTGTTTTGATAGTGTAGGTTGTACATATTAGAAATGTATACTTCTCACTATATACCACTATAACCGCATTGAAACCCATGTGGTTTAGTTGGAAGGTAAGCATAGGAATTAAAAATAAGAAAAGGGTATTTAAATCAGATAAATCAGAGGTCTCCTATATAAAATACAATGAAGCTAATTAAAAAAGATATAAGAAGCAGGTTGTGCCAAAACAAATATGAAAAATATAAAAATACAACGAACAATCAAAGATAAAATATATAGTCCAGATGTTGTTCTAATGGCCTGAGTTCTTATGTAGTTGGATCCATCCTCATAAGGTGCATATGAAAGAAAAGAGAAAACCGGGATAGTGACAGTGTAGTATGTAGCACAGTGAGTGGAAAACAAACAAACAAACGTAAGCGCCACTCACATGTTATGAAGCTATCATACTAGCTCTGGTAGAGACAGCATGTAGTGGTACAATTCAGACTAATGGGTATGCATGTAGAAATGGTCTGTCCCATGAATCAAAGTGAAATATGTAAAGAGAGAAATAACATTCAATAGTGTAATATTGCCAGCAAAAGTGACTAAAGTTCCAAAAAATAGGAAATGCACTTACAATGCTAGAGGTTTGTTTTTTTCAAGCATAGTGCAAGCATGTGCTGCGTTTGCTAGTGACTTGTGTCCCCAATAGTGGGATACCAGGGAACAAAAGTGGAACAGTTAAAAGTGTTTTGTGCATGTGTGGTATGCTCCCTGTGCTGTTGTATGTCAAAGCAGACATTGTGTTGTAGTCTATAAAGGGGTCTATATGTGTGGCTAGGGACTGTAGTGTGTGTGTTTCTGGGTTGTACAGTATGTGTGTAAAGTGTGTTTGTGTGTTAGTAAGTGCAGGGGTGTAGTATGTATATAGGGAACTTCTTAAGAGTGTGTTTGTGTGTATATAGGGAGTGTAGCATTTGAGAAGTGTGTTGGCATGTATGTGCAGGCGGCATAGTGTGTGTGTGTAGTTTGTGTAAGTGCAAAGGGTGTTGTGTGTTAATAGGGGGTATAGAGTGTGTGTAGTGTGTTTGTGTGTAGTGCCTATATAAGGGGTTGGATTAAGGGAAATGGAGCACCCTGATCCCTGGTGGTCCAGTGGGCTCAATATGTGTTCTGTACCACCACATGGTACAGACCATGTCTCTCCCTGTTACAAGTGCCGGTGTTTCAGAGCATTGCCATGGGTTATCATGGCAATGCTCTGACAATATCAGAGGAAATGAGGAGATGCTGCCCTTCATACTGCAGAGAGGCCTCCTGGCTCACTTTCCTCTGGTGACCCAATCTCCCCTCTGACCCATGATGAAACAGAGCTCCCTCTAAGGGCCGATACTGTACAACTTGGGCCGCCAGCCTCAGCCCATGACCATCGTGGCCCACTGGGCATTTGCCCTGTTTCTCAGATGGCCAGTCAGGGCCTAATGATGTGACACTAATGATGCCCATAGTGAGTGGGCCCACCTGGAAAACTACCTACCGAAGGAGCCTGTCTTACAGGCCACCAGCCTGCATTGCTTTGCAGGGAGAGCTGCTGAAGCACTCCTAGTGCCAATGCTCAGTACAAGCACATGTAAGGATGCGTTTATGCTGTGCTGTCCGACTACAGTTTTCTGGTGTCCCAACTAAATCTGGAATGTGGGATAGGACTGTTGGGGTACCTGACCTTAAGTGATCAGGAATTACTGTCCCTTTCCTCCCTCGTGAGCCATTGTATGTCATATCATATGTGATAGAAAAATATACGCCAGATATCTTCAGATCTGTGAAAACAGGCACAGAATGATAGGTAAGAAGGACAAACCTATAATCAAAGAAGACACCCCCCGAAAATAACTATTGGGATGTTTGTTTGTTTGTTTGCATGATGAAGAAAAACCCCTGCTCTCTAGAACTTACTTACCTTTCCAGTTATTATTAATCAACCCCATACTGTTACTTAAAACAAACTTAAACAATCCAAGTATTCATTGTCTCATAACAGCATCACTACATAATTTAACCCTAAAATGTTTCTTACATAAAGAAAAAGGAAATCTAAAACTGAATAAAATTCTTCTAAAAAAATATTTTCAAACATATTACTAAATGCATTTTTTTTCAAACCATGGACTATTAAATGTTATGAAAGGAGCAATAAGACCTTTCTACTAAACATCATAAACAATAATATTTGTTCAGGAAGAATCCCCCAAAGCAGGGGTGCCCAAAAGGTAGACCCCCCAGAGGTTGTACAACTACAGCATCCATGATGCATTCTAAAGGCACGAAAAGCATAATGGGAGTTATAGTTTTATTACATCTGGGGATCTGCCTTTTGGGCTCCCCTGCCCTATAGGCTTTCATTACCTCCCCATATGTCACTGTTTTATTTGTTTTTATTGACAACTTGTAGGAAGATTTTTTTTTCCCTGTACAGTAAATCAAATATGAGTAAAGTCACTATTGTATTTTTGTTTGCTCTCTCCATTATGGGAAGAATATGAATTTCATTCCTTTTGCCAGTCCTAGAAATCTGAGATTCTGATCCATCTACACTAAAAGTCAATCCATTGATCCTTTTGCAACAGCAGTAAATATCAACTGTGTTCTCTACAATTGTAAATGTTATTAGCAAATATGATAATTTCGTTTGCAAACACATCCAATGAATATGAAGTAGGCTTCTACGCAATATACCTAGGTTTATGCAAGCTGGCATATAACAGGCCAAATGCTGGTCAAATTGTAAAGGTTCTAACGGCTATGTTTATGATATGTATATTTACTATGTGTTTTTGGTTTTTTTCTAATAAATTATTGCCAACATCAGAGTTTCTCTGTTTCCTTTGTGTGTATATTTGTGTTTGACATATACTCTTTGCTGTGACTTGTCATGTGACCCATCACAGCATCATAATGATCTAAGCACACATTACCAGGCCACCTGCAAACACTTCTCATTGAGTCCTTACATTTGCAGAGGGGTGCTTTGGTCTGGCTGACGAGATCCTCTGATCTCCTCAGTCGGCTGGGATCTGACAACCTTGTGTGCCATATAAAGGTACCTTATGTGCCATACGTGCCTGATCTAACAATATTAACACAGTTGCACTCCATTGTGACTATATTGGAATCTATTTGGGAATTAATTTGGACTGTATCATCTCAGAATTTGTCCTACTATTGCAAACTGGCAATAACCCACAGAATTATCCACATAGCCTACTCATACTTGCATTGATAAATAGGCAAACATTTTCCTGAGTGCAGAAGCAATTTCTACTTTATATTAAGTAGATGTAGTTATTAGAATGATGCATAACTAAAGCTCTGCGTCTTTCGATAATGGTATGTCACATCTTATCAATTAGAATGAATGCCATATTAAAGGGACACTATAGTCACCAGAACAACTACAGCATATCGAATTTGTTCTGGTGAGTAGAATCATTACCTTCAGGCTTTTTGCTGTAAACACTGTCTTTTCAGAGAAAATGCAGCCTAGTGATAACTTCACTGGCCACTCCTCAGATGGCTGGGTCATGGCTGCCTAAAATGCATCCAAACATCCAGTATCTCCTCCCTCTGCATGCAGACACTGAACTTTCCTCAATTCATCTCTATGAGGAGATGCTGATTGGCCAGGGCTGTGTTTGAATCGTGCTGGCTCTGCCTCCTTGTCAGTCTCAGCCAATCCTATGGGAAAGGCTACCACTTCTGCTGATGTCAGCAGACTGTTTGTTTTTTTTGTTTGTTTTTTTGAGGCAAACAGCATGCAGATCTACAGCTTCTGGCTTGAATACAGTAAGATTTTGCTATATTTATGGAGGCATGAGGGGCCCAGGGGCGTAGATGGTGGTTTTAACACTATAGGGTCAGGAATACATGTTTGTGTTCCTGACCCTATAATGATCCTTTAAAGATCAAAACTTGAATAACTGTTAATGGGACACTGTAGGCACTGTAATCTCTTCATCTCAGTTAATAGGTTATATTGTCTGGAGTTCCCTAATGCCACCCTTCTTTTCAGTGTTAAATCCTTTTTTATTGGTTTAATGCTTAGCAAGAGTCCCACCCCAGCAGGGTGCATTAGCCTAAGCCAGATGACAGATGGCTGTGATTATCTGAAACATAGAAGCATAGAACGTGATGGCAGATAACAACCATTCGGCCCATCTAGTCTGCCGAATTTTCTAAATACTCTCATTAGTCCCTGGCCTTATCTTATAGCTAGGATAGCCTTATGCCTAGTGTTAACTGACCGCTCTCAGCCTGTCACAGAAGCCCATTGCTGGTATGAATTGGTATGGGTCTCTCCCTAAGTCATACCTACAGTCGTAGCCGGGCTATAGGCAGTCAGGGAACCTCACATAGCGGAATATTGCTAAAAAATTGATTAATAGTGTATGGAGGAACAGCGCACAGGTACTCTATGCACCACTACCTGTTTAGTTAGATAAAATGGTTAAAGTGCCTAGAATGTTCCTTTAAAGGTACCCTCCAAGCAGCATAACGACTACTGTGACCTGTTGTGGTTATGGTGCCACACACCATTCTTCAATGTTATTGGCACCTCCTCCAATGTAAGTAGTCAAGTAGTTTTAGAATAGTTTGACATTAAACTGGGGTTCACTGGACACTGCTCCCGACCTAGAATATATATTGCACAAATCTGTAAACTGTATGTTAGAAAGGCCCAATTAGAGACTACAATAGAGTCTAATGGGCCCTGGAGAGGGGCCCTCCAACACTCTGGTCCTTCTGTGTGTCTCTTTGCCCTCCTCTGTGAGTCTCGTTCTGCCCCTAGCCTCTTTATGTATCACTATGTGCCCCTTAGTGTTTCTCATACCCCCCAGCCCCTCCATGTGTCTCATTCCCCGAGCCCCTACATGTGTCTCATTCATTCCCCAGCCCCTCTATGTGTCCCATTTCCCCCCCCCTCAGCTCCTCCAAGTCACCCATTACCCCTCCACAGCCTCTCCAAGTTAGTGTCTCATTCACCCTTGCAGCCCCTACAAGTGTCCCATTCCCCCTCCACAACCTATCCAAGTGTCCCATTGCCCCTCCCCAGCCTCGCTATGTGTCCCATCCCCCCTACTCAGCTTCTCAATGTCTTTCCTTTCTACCTCCCCCGCCTCTTCATGTGTCCCATCCCCCATAGCCTCTGCATGTGTCCCAATCCCCCCTTAGCCTGTCCATATGTCCCATTTGCCCATCCCTAGCCAGCCTCTCTATGTGTCCCATTACCCCTCCTCAGCCTCTCCATGTGTCCAACTCCCCCCCCCCACCTTTCCATTTGTTCCATTCCACCTCAGCCCCTCAATGTGTCCCATTTGTAGCGTGCTTTTAATCATCCAGCTATCCTAACCACATGCATTCAAGTGCAAATTATTATTGTCTCTCTTCCCCATACTAGAAGAGTGCTTCACCAACAAGTGTGCTTTCCAAGATGCATAGACAGTAGGTATTATGGAACTACTGATAAAGAGGTGAATAGGAGAGATTGAATTGGTGGGTGATAACATTCTCAATATGCATCACATGTCTGAATCAGGACAATTTATCCAAAGCTTCAACTACAATGAACAGAAATGGATATGACAGCGAGAAACCTCTTACAATTAAAGGGGTACACTCACTGTTCTGTAACTGACCATTTTGAATGCACAATGTAGATAAGGTATTAGAAAATATGCACCCACATCCAGTCCTAAATAAAATTATAATAAAAGTTAAAATATATTCACTTCTAAAGTACTTTATTTTATTGGAAAACAAACAAACAAACCAAAACAACATTATAGTTCTTGAACTTGGCCTACTCCAGGAACATACCTCCTAATATTGGGAGGGATGAGAATGGGACAGGTGGGTGGAGCTGAGAGAGGCTTCACCAGTGATACGAATCACATCACTTGCGATCCCAATAATTGGATAAAAGAAGCAGGTCTGTTTGGAATTGAGAAGGGCCCACCCACTTAAAGGGCTTGTCTGACAAGCCCCCAACATGAAGGACCTTGCAGAAAGCACTGCTGAACATTTTTCTGCAGGATCCTAGTGCTTGTGTACAGTGTGACCTTGTCTAAAGTACTTTATTTTATTGGAAAAAAAACAAACAAACCAAAACAACATTATAGTTCTTGAACTTGGCCTACTCCAGGAACATACCTCCTAATATTGGGAGGGATGAGAATGGGACAGGTGGGTGGAGCTGAGAGAGGCTTCACCAGTGATACGAATCACATCACTTGCGATCCCAATAATTGGATAAAAGAAGCAGGTCTGTTTGGAATTGAGAAGGGCCCACCCACTTAAAGGGCTTGTCTGACAAGCCCCCAACATGAAGGACCTTGCAGAAAGCACTGCTGAACATTTTTCTGCAGGATCCTAGTGCTTGTGTACAGTGTGACCTTGTCTAATGATATGCTTGCACCTTGCTGCCGAGGACAGTTCCCTTTGTGGTAAGTAAATCAGGACACCAGGACATGACCCCAAAATCAAGACAGGTGTGGGGCCTGAGGAAGTAGCTTGCCCAATTAAGAGCCCTTTACTTTCAGACATGTTTAACCCAGAACTTCAAAGGGTAATGTGCATTGGCAATTACCAACTAGCTAATCTTTTAAGACAAACTCTATATAATACATAAAAGCTAGATTGGTATCCAGGGGTCTTTTTAATACACCTCTCCTGTGCTGCAAACCTGTGAAAGTTACCCATAAATCAATACCTGATTGTGAAAACAGAGTGTATGTAAATTACAGCCCATTTTTACACATTATACAGCAATATAGTATGTTTAAAATTATGCAATTTTCTAATTAAATTAATTTAGGTGTAATTACTCTCAGTGCTGAACCTTAAATATGCTTGGCTCTCCTTTTGGGATTATAGTTGAGAAGGTGGCACTATTAAGTGCAATAGGCAAGGTACAGTTGTGCTCAAAACTTTGCATACCCTTGGAGAATTGGTAATATATGTGCAATTTGTAAAGAAAACATGAGTGCGCAGGCAAAAACACATTTCTTTTATTTCTTATGAGATTCATATTCAACTGTAGGTCATATCACAATGGCACAATCATAACAAAACATGGCAACAAAGAAAAAAATGAAATGACCCTTGTTAAAAAGTCTGCATACACTTATTTCTTAATACTGTGCTTTTGTAATAGTTGTCTATGAGACCAATAATTCTTGCAGATGGTATAGCTGCCCATTCGTCTTGGCAAAATGCCTTCAAGTCATGCAAAGTCTTTGGTAGTCTTGCATGAAACGCACTCCCCAGAGTGGCTCGATGATATTAAGATCAGGAGACTGTGATGGCCATTCCAGAACCCTCACCTTTTTCCACTTTAACCACTGGAGAGTCAACTTGGCCTTGTGCTTAGGGTCATTCTCATGCTGGAAAGTCCAAGAGCGTCCCATATGCAGCCTTTGTCAGACAATATTTTCTGATAACATGCTGCATTCCTCTTGCCATCAATTTTCACAAGATTCCCCATGCTTTTAGAGCTCACATCCCCACAATTAGTGAGCCATCACCATGCTTCACAGAGGTGGTGGGGTTTTTTTCACTATAGGCTTTGTTGACCCCTCTCCAAATATAGAGCTTAAGGTTGTGACCATAAAGCTCTATTTTAGTCTTGTCACTCCAAATTACAGTGTATCAGAAGCTGTGAGGTGTGTCAAGGTGTTGTCGGCATATAGTAACCGGCTTTTTTGTGGCATTGGCGCAGTAAAGACTTCTTTCTGGAAGCTCGACCACGCAGCTCATTTTTGTTCAAGTATTGAAACAAGCACACCATCTTTTTCAAGGGCAGCATGCATTTC